CGCTACCGCTTGAGCCACATCCCCAGCCCTGTTAGCATGATTATATCACACAAAGGGCCTTTTCTCTCTACATTATTTTCCGACCTTACTTCACTGTATGCCCACTTTGATTTTTCTCTCAAGGTATACACTACCTCAGTGCCTACTGAATTCAGCTTCTAACAACTATATGCAAATAAGCATCATGCAATCAAGGACAGATAACCCTTCCTCCTGTAGCATACAATGGGCACACCCCCTTCTCCAGGGGCTTAAAGAAGCAAATCTGGCCTTGGCAGATTTTCCACAGTAAACAATAGGATAATGAATCAATTTATACCACATTATGCTGGACAACTAAAATATACTAAATATAAATATCACATGGACAATAATCACTGCAAAAATCTTCATGGATTTGTACCTTTGAGGAAGACAGGACCACTCAGAATATCTTTCCTCACTCTTACAGCCTCCTGTACAGATTGTGTAGGGATTGGCTGTGAAGAAGCTTCTCCAAGATTTTCCAGCAAAATTTTCATTAAAACTGTTAAGTCATCTTCACTGAGAGCAACCTAAAAGCCACCAATAATTTGTTAACAGAAAGTAATAAAAAAATCCAGAATATGATGTCTTCCTCAAATTAAACAACTGTTCATGTCATTTATTTATTTATTTATTATTTTTAGTACAGGGGCACTTAACCACTTAACCAAGCCCAGATTGTTGGGTTTTTGTTTGTTTGTTTTTGTTTTTTTCTTTTTTGAAGACAGGGTCTCGCTAAGTTACTTGGGGCCTCCCCAAATCTGGTCATCTGTTTTAAAAAGAAAGACAAGAAGCTGTGAGAACAAACATCAGAAAAAAAAAAAAATGTGATCTTGTTTAGTATGGGACTTCCTCTCTGTGTAAACAAACTTTTGCCTCTTCCCACAGCCCAGTCCTTGCCTCTGCCACTCCCACACCCTTCCTGCCTGGCATGTGACTCTGCTGCTCTGTTCCTAGACATGAGCTGTTCCCATTCCTGTCTCTCCATTCTGCCTCTCTTCTCACCSAGGACCAGCTCCCTCTTCTGCATTATTTACTCCCCTCCATATTCAACATCAGGAGAGTCCTGTTCAGTTTCTCCTGTTATGTGGTTGTATTCTCAGTATACATTCATCTGGACATACAAAAACAATCTATTTAATTTATTAAAAGTAACACCTCTAGAATAATAACAAATACAACTAACAAGTATTTTTTTAAACCAAAACATACACCAAGAAGGCAACATCCTATTAATCTTTTACCTTTACAAAGGGTATGAGTGACCCCCCCCCACCAAAAAAAAAAAAAAAAAGGACAAAGCTGCCAAGTCAGGTAGATCCCTATCAGCTTTACCAGATTCAAGTTTTGCTGAGGCAAAGATTCTCAGCTTCCTCAATTCAAGTCTTTTATTCTTTAAAATAGGAATAAAAGTATCTTCCTCACAGGTAGTTGCAGAATAACGGGAAGTAGCTCGAAATTTCCACGTCCATTAAGACTCATTAAATTAGTATTCCTGTGAAGCTGCTTATCCTTCCACCTTTTGTAAATTTTCTCTACAGACACAGTGGTCCAAAAGGTTTGTTTYAAGTTTTCATACATAATTTTACACAAGCAAGCATACATGCACAGTACTTTCTCCTCTGAATGCCACAGTAAACTCTGTCCCCACAGTTAAACTCTATGGCCTGGAAAATTGGTACTTCATTGCTTAATGGAAAATAGAGAGATATTTTAGCACAAGGTAATGGTCAAGAACTTGTTTGTAGCAAGCCCCAGTCCTCAGATAATAGTTGTGACACTGGTACCTCAGAAATTCCATTCCTGGATTTGAGCCTTGCTCCCTTTTCCCTGTCTCCTGTTTCCCTATCTCCCCACCTCCATTCAGCCTTTCATCTCAGCAAGTACCAGCATCTTCTACATTATTTATTCTCCTTCAATTTCAAATACAGGGAGACTGCTATTCAGTTTTTGGCTCCCACTAAGAAGTAAAAAGATTTTCTCAATTTCACATTGCTACATGTAATATCTTGTGATACCAACCAAAATATTACAGCTGCCTGAAGCTACTTCAGGATTTCCAGTTTGCTGTGGATAAAATGAACAACTGTATTAGATGTTAGACTGACCTTCAGTAAGTACAAATTACAATTATAAAAGGTAGCCCTACAGTTCTCTGAGAAAAGTCAAGCGGATTCACTGAAAACAACCTGTTGGTATTGGTCACCTAATGCTCTTTCTTAGCTACTCCTCAAACACAGGAAAACTATATAGTCCATGAATAAAGAGTATTTAAAGAAACCTAGATCACTGACAATTTAGGCAGTGAAAACCTTATCTGCTGTGGCTGCATTGTTGCATTAACAAGGGTGATCTTTGGGCTGAGGATATATAGCTCAGTTGTGCTTGCTTCAGAGTGCTTGCCTCCCATGCACAAGGCTCTGGTTTCAATCCACAGCACCACAAAAAAATAAAAAATAAGAAAAAAAAAGAAAGGGTCACTTCGGTTAAAGTCATAATCACACTTTTATGTTAACATGTTCTGCTACTGTTTTGGTTCTTTTAGAATATTTCAAGCACAAAGGAAAAGACAGAGTACACTATAATCAATCCCTATGTATCTACCACCTAGCTTTATGGAATCTTATCAAGTTGCTAAATTTCCTTCAGATCTTTATCCCCTTTAAAAATACAGTTGAAGTCCCATATGTACCTCTGTAAGATTATACTCCCTTCTACTTTCATCCCCATGGGAAGACACTATGCTAAATAATTATTTACTACTACTGCATGCCTTATAAACTATATATGTACATATATATGTCATATGTACCCATATACATACACACACACACACACACACACACACACACACACACACGTATGGCATCGCCACGCTGCAATTTTCAAATAATACAGAACTATCTTATCATTTTGCAATTTCCTTTTTTTCATTTTTGTATTTAACGTGTATTCATCTGTTTCATGCAGTTCTTAGTCATTCCTTTTTTATGCTTTACAATGTGCATACAGGGAAAGATTCTCCTACTGATAAGATATTTAGGTCTTACTTTGGCTTTCAGTAAACTTATAACTACATAATCTCTGCAAAGAGGGGTCAAATATTAGTCCTGGAATCTACTTTCTTCTAAGAGAGGATACTTATACTATGAAATAGAAACTATACAAAGAATATCCCCAAAAGACATAATTCAATAAATTCTTTCCATATACTATTTTGACCAATACATACATACAGAAACTTTCATTTCCCCAAGATCCAATTTTAATTTCTTTCCTAGTAGAATTTTACTACTTTCACCCTTCCTATGTTATCTCAGAACCAACTTGAAAGTAATCACAGATATCAAAACTACTAAACTACTAAATTTGCATACTGTTCAATCACTCTCTTATCCCAATCTTTGCTGTTTGGCTTCAAACTGTTTCACACCTAAGAATCACAGAACTCTTATACTTCCATGATGACCATTGACGAGTCTCATCTACTTCTGTGAGCTGAACCTAACCAGCTAACTTACCATCAAAAATACTGCTGCATTTATATGGTTACCAAATAAATACACTTGCCTATTCAGCATAATGTTCACTTTTCTTACTAAAAGGAGGTTTTTACACATAAAAATACTACAAAATCACTGTACTTAATATGTACAAATACTTCCAATCAAAAATTTTTTTAAAAAAACACAACTGAAGTGCTTTTGAATGTGTTTTATGAACACCACTCTGCACTCTCTTACAATTTAGCTATGTTATGACTTTAGTAAAATTTTCCAAAATTTAGACTAATATTTTCAGTAGACTCCAATAGGTCTGATTTATACTTTTGGCTGACTTTACCAAATATCTAACTAAAATGAAATAAAGAAAGTCAGAATGACAGCTATTATAAAGACAAGCAACAATAAGTGTTGGTGAGGATGTGGGGAAAAAGGTACACTCATACATTGCTCATGGGACTGCAAATTGGTGCAGCCAATATGGAAAGCACTATGTAAATTCCTTGGAAATCTGGGAATGGAAACACCATTTGACCCAGCTATCCCTCTCTTTGGTTTATACCCAAAAGACTTAAAAACAGCATACTACAGGGATACAGCCACAACAATGTTTATAGCAGCACAATTCACAATAGCTAAACTGTGGAGCCAACCTAGATGACCTTCAGTGGATGAAAGGATAAAAAAAAATGTGGCATATATACACAATGGAATTTTACTCAGCAATAAAARAGAATAAAATTATGGTATTTGCAGGTAAATAGATGGCCTTGGAGAAGATAATATTAAGTGAAGTTAGCCAATCCCCCAAAAAACAAATGCTGAATGTTTTCTCTGATATAAGGAGGCGGACTCATAGTGGGGTAGGGAGAGACAGCATGGGAGGAATAGATGAATTCTAGATAGGGCAGAGGGGTGGGAGGGAAAGGGAGGGAACAGAGGATTAGCAAGGATGGTGGAATGTGATAGACATCATCATTCAGAGTACATGTATGAAGACACGAATTGGTGTCAACATACTTTATATACAACCAGAGATATGAAAAACTGTGCTATAAACATGTAATAAGAATTGTAATGCATTCTGCTGTCATTTATTTTTTTAAAAAATCAATTAAAAAAAAAAAGAGAGAGACGGAGGGGATTTAAGCTAGGGACAGGCCGTGAGAGGCACAGGAATAAACAGGGACTCAAACAAGAAAAAAAAGAAAGAAAGAAATGTGTGGGAAACAAGGATGACCTCACTTGCAGTTAACAAAATATTCCTTTTTAATACACACTAGAACTGCAGTATGATCAATGATAAAAGTCTATCTAGCAATTTTATATTTAATACTACATACAAACCTGCATAGGTTTTAGTTTTCCTTTTATCTCCATCCCTGGAATCTGTACATACCACGTTGCTGATAAATTTCGTTGTACAGACAAAAGCATGTTGACTGGTTTTAGAATTTCAATGTCATATGGTGGCAAGCTAGAGTGCAAAATAGTTCTGAAAGAAAAACAAAAATTTATTATATATTTTAAATATACATTTTTAAATGAGGACTTTCATACTGTGTAACAGCTTCTACATAGACCTTTCCTAAACACTTAGAGACTGGAACCATAATTCTTTTAAAACGATTTTCTTTAAACAAATCAGAATAAATCAGGTTATATGCGGTTATCTAAAATAAAGCCTATATAACACTGATTCCAAAGACATGATTTCCATAGTTTATTACATTACTATCTTTTATAAAGACTGTTTGATATAGCAACTAGCACAATGTTATACCAATAAAATTTAACCCTTCTAAAATTGAAGTATAAAGGAAGTATTAGTATATGTAGCCCATATATATTATTGCTATTCTCCAAACTCAAAGGAAAAACACACCAAAGCTTAAACTAAGTGAACATATGGTAATAGTCACTTTTAGCCTATCTGCTAACAACTATTTCCACAATCAAATGAGTACTGTTGCCATTCAACACAACCAATACTCTCCCATCAAGAAGCAACAACCCTTTAGATACCTCATTCAAAATTACCAAATGTGACAAGATTTGGGAATGAGAAATCTTAAATCTTATCATAATTTAGGAAGTTTTATCCCACCTACAGAAAAGGAAATAGCTATGTGTTTAAAAGAAAGAAAGAAAGAAAGACAAACCATAACAGAAAGAAGGAAGAAAAACCATAACAATAAATTAAGTATTACTAATTAGCCATATTTTCTCTATTTTTTTTAGATGAGGTCTTGCTATATTGCCCAAGCTGGTCTTGAACTTGTGAGATTCTCCTGCCTCAGTCTCCCAAGTAGCTAAGAACACATGTGCACCACCATGCCCAGCCAGTAAACTGTAATTTCATAAGTAACTTCTATACAATAAAAAAAAATTCATATTCTGAATTCTGTAAAACAAAATACAGACTGTGAGGCACACTACTATAAGCCACTGGCCAAAAAAAAAAAAAAAAAAAATCAATGGTCAGGCTTCCTTAGTTAAAATAAATAAGGACTGGGATCACAAATTATTAGACCATTTTACCTCAAGCCAAAATTCTATGAAAATCCTATGCTTAGTTAAGATTCACAATTGGATTATATATTTATACCTGGACAGCTTCAACTGAGTGAGCTGGACAATCATCGTATCAACAATGGGGGGAAGAGAATAATGTTCCATAGGAACCAAGCTAAATTTGTTTTCAATTCTGATTAAACCCAGATCTGCTATAATAGCATTAGGCGATACTGAAGACTGAGGAATAATGATAACTGGTGCTTTCAAATTGATATCCATCAAAAGGCGGAAACTCTTTTGAGCCAAGTCTTTCATGCTGGAAGCAGCTCTTTCTGCAGCCTGGACTGTGGCTGTGCTCAAAGCTTCTTTGGCAGTTTGGAAATTGTTGAGAAAGTTCTGTTGGAAAAGAATGATGATCAGATAGTTCCCCAAAAAAGACTTTTTTTTTTTTTTGTACCACAGATTGAATTCAGGGGCACTCCACCACTGAGCCATACCCCTAGCCCTATTTTGAATTTTATTAGAGATAGGGTCTCAGTTGCTTAGCGCCTCGCTTTTGCTAAGGCTGGCTTTAAACTCAAGATCCTCCTGCCTTTGCCTCCTGAGCCGCTAGGATTACAGGTATGTGTCACTATGTCCTGCCATGAACATTCGTTTTTAAAGAAAAAATTTCAGAAAGTATTTACTCTTAAAAAAAAAAAAAACTAAACAAAAGAGATAACATAAAAGAGATGTTACTTGTGACTATGTATACAGAGAAGAATAAAGTCATTAACAGTTATCTCCAGGAAAGAAGAATTCTTTAACTTTCATTTATATTTTTCAAAATTATTTGATTTTATGATAAATTTTCCAACTTCTCAAAAAATCTTTTTTATTAGTAAATGTTAGTCATGTTAAATTCAAAATTTAAATGAAAGGATTGAGAGAAAGCACCTTATTGCTCCAAAAGTGGGTTCCATTCTATTACTCTAGATCACAGGAATAAAGATTATTCTTAGAAACTAAGGATCTGGTAGCTTTAAAATTTATTTTAAATGTGCCAGGCATGAGCACACATTGTTAATTATGTATTACCCTGGAATCATTAATAAGAATCAAAACTTCTTTGTTTATATTAAGAAGCTTTTCATCTCAATTTCAACTAAAAACAGATTTTTCCCAATGGAGAAATGATCATTCTTAGAAGCAATACTCTTTAAACTTTCTTCTTTCTCCCAATACTAGGGATTTAACCCAGGGACACTGAGCTACATCCCTGGCCTGCTTTATTTTTTCATTTTGAGACAGGGTCATACTAAGTTTCTGAGGCTGGCCTTCAATTTGCAATCTTACTGCCTCTGTCTCCTGAGTTGCTAGGATTACAAAGATGTGCCACAAGCCTGGAAAAGCAATATTCTTAATGTTCATCCATTGATAATACAACAGAAACTTAATATCTTCTTCCTAGCTCAAAATAAATGACTTTCTAGAAAAGTGAACGTGATGTTTTGGAAAATTCATGACTGGTAAGTTGTAGTCGGCAGCTCTGTTAAGAGGCACAGGCAGATTTAAACTCTTTAGTCCATGACACTTACATGGATATAGTAAAAATGAAACAATTTCATGGTCTTGTTGATCAGAAATACAACCAAAATCTGTAAGTTTCAATATTAGTTTTTCAAATAGCTGATGAGTTTTATTAGAAAGTTCTTCTAGCTAAATACCCTAAGGTATTTCATCAAACAAGTAACACTGAAAAGCCCTAAATTAAAAATTACAAAAATACTATTAAAATATGTAGCTATATGTTTAAAATATGTAGTTAAAATGTTAGAGAATGACAGTTTCTATGTTTAAAACAATGATTTAAAAATCAATTTGGTTAACATTATATAAAAGATCTCCTTAACTACAGAATTGTGTTCGGCATCAGGGTGTTTAGTAGATAGCCTGAGAAGTGAAGATTTTGACTATCTAAGGTTCAGGTGTATAGACAAAATATTTAGGTCTCAATAAGAAATAAATTCATATAAACTTACCAAAAGAGACATGAAGAATTTATGAACATAAACAATTTGAATACAGCCCACTTTGAGACTAAGTTTGCCATCTACTTTAGACATATCTGCATAAGCCTTTCCTTCTGTGGCATCTGGATACAGAGTCATTTGAAATCTGAAGACTTCATCTCCCAAAATAGAGACAGCCTAAAAGTATGCAATACCTAGGCATTACTGCAAATTCCTTATTGCTCTATCCCTTATTATGCAATCCTTGATATATGAAGAAGCAATATATCAATGTAACCCTAAACAATTTTATGAAAAACATTTTATTTAGCAAAAGCTTTTCCTATTTCTATAAAAAACACTTTTTTATTAATAGAAATATCTTCTTTGTTTTTGTTTTTTTGGTAGAGCTGGAGATCGACCCACAGCCTCAGACATACTAAACAAATATTCTGTCACTGAGCTACACTACACCCCTAGCCCTTATTATAAAAATATCTATCTGTTACTGAACTGTTCAGAAGTAACTTTTCAAATCACTGTATAGCAGAAGGCCTGGTATACATACAACATGAAAGCCAACTGTTATCAACTGTAACAAAATGCCCAACATGTGACAGACAACTAATAAATGTATACTAAATACACTTATGAATATTAGCATCCCAAAGTCAAAGAAGAAACTAAACTTCAATACAAAAATCTATTTTTTAATTACCTTTTTGTGAATGGACAGCAAATCAACATTTGTAACTATGATATTCTGAAGTCTGGCAAACATATCAGTCTGCTTTGGCTTCACAGATACAGAGGCATCCATTCCTAAGGGAGACATATTATTTATAAACTTTTTACTCCATCTAAATGAACCAATTTAGTGGCATTTTAATTCAATAATATACTACCAAGATATAGAATGAATTAAAAAATACTCATTACTAAACATATTAACAGCATCAACTTCCATGTATGAGTCACCCAAGAAAGTTTACAAAACCTTTAAATGCTACATGCATCTCATATATAAAAGTTGTGGAAATGAAAACAAAAACTGTACTTTTTAAAGTACAGTCTTCTAAGATTTCTCTTCAAAAAAATCTGTCATCATAATGTCTAAATGTCTTATAGTGTTTTAAACTGTCCTGCATCTGTATTCCCTATAAAACAGATATATGGTGATATCTGTTGAACCGTGCTAATTTTTTTTAACCGTTTAAAAAAACTGCTTACTGTGTACCAGCCACTTTTCTAAACATTTGTAAATGCATAAACTTTTTTAATGCTCACCAGAACCCCATGCATAATTATTACTGTCTTCATTCTATAGAAGAAGAAACTGAGACATAGAAAAGTTAAATAATTTGCTCAAAGCTGCCAGTATTAGTTAGTTAGTTAGAACCTTGGCAAATTCTCCAGAACCTATGGACCATAATAACATGCTACCCCATTCTTATATCAAACTAATATAATGGAAATCACTCAATCACTCAGAAAACATCTTTCAGAAACTTTTCCAATGCTATATGTGTACAAAAGACAAGGGAAAATAATGCTAATGGCATTCTTTTCAGTCTGTGAAATGTTATGATATTCATTTCTCTGTCTAAAGTGATATTATTTTTAAAATGCACACCAAGAAGAGACTAAGCCTCAGATATTCTGAATTTTTTTAAGTACATAAGGAATGCCTCAAGTCAGTAAGGAATCATAAAAAAATATACTTCAAACATTTGAAAGTACACCTTTACAACGCTTGCATAAGTCTTCAACATAAGTAAACATAATATGGCTCAGAAGAAATCCATTGTGCACAAGCTCATTTTCCCTGGATACTTATGCAAAGAAATATAAAGACCCACATCAAAAAATAATTACTTACCATGTATTTTAATATCTGCTATGTTACACTTCTGATCACAAACAAAGATATTAAATGCATTTAATTCAGCTGTGACTTTTAAATCAAACACATCTTCTTTAGAAATGGTGCTAGATACTGAAAATCAAGAGAAATTTTGTGATCAGCAAAGTAGAAAGATGATAAAAGATGCAAAATAATATCAAATCCACCAAAATAAAACTACATAAAATATTATAAGGAACCCAGAAAGATCTCTGTTAAGATAACATAGTTAATATGAATTTGAATCAATTTTCAAATACTAATTAGACAAAAATTAGCATGTTCCCCTTCAAATGAAGAATAAAGGCAATAATAAGACCTTCATGTACTATTTACTAGATAAAATTTTTTTTTCATCTTCTAAGAAAAAGATAACCCTCTAAATTCAAATTCTAGAATTATTTTAGTTGAAAACTTTGATTTTGAGCTCCTTTTCATATCACATATTACAGCAAAGAACAATTAATGAAAAATTATAATACTGATGAAGTTATTAAAATTCATAGTACTGTCATTTTAATACATGTTATTTAATTATAGAACCAATTCATTTCTCTATATTATAAGCTACTGTTACTGCTTCATAAAAAAATTGTACAACAAACTCAATGAAACATGAACACAAAAAGGCTGACGATTAGGGGGAAAACACATAAAATAAGATGTAAGAATCACAATTGAACTGATTACCTTAATCTACTTTAGTGCAGGTCCTGATTAATAAATTTAGAATACACTTTCCTATAAATCTGTCTTACCTGAAGAAAACAGAACCTTCCCACAGAACTGCCAGAGCAGGGGGGTATCAGTCCTAAATCACCAATATGATGACAATTTTTTTCCTTAATATTTATTTTAGCACAATCAAACCATAGAGACCAAACATGAAAAAACAGATAATTTCTTTGGGTTAATAGTATTTGTAATTCATTCTGAATCTAAATACTAATTTTTCATTGAACTGTACTTTGTATATGTCATATAAATGTTAAATAAAGAAGAGGTATTTCTAAGGATATTATCTCTTAAAGATATTACTGTGGCAAGAAAATACACTAAAGACAAAGAAGGTAAAACTCTCTTACTGCAGTTTTAACAAAATAATTGCTCTGTTCCATGATTTTAAAAAAATCAGATCCCTGTATCAGATCTAGTAGTACTAACAGTTTTATACTTAAGATGCCAGTAATTCAGATGTCAAACTTGTAATGGTCTGAAAATTAAATTATTYGATGTTAGACATTTAAAATATACAATATGAAAAATTAATTCAATGATATTGGCCTAAAAACAGGCCAATGTATCTTTATTCACTCAGGATACTTCCATCTCTAACACTTCACAGCACAAGTCATATGTCTGAGGAATATGTGCTCAAATTTATGTGTGATCAAAATATGGATTTGGTTAGAAACCAAAGTGAGTGTCTTTCTTCTGTGACATTCCTTCTTTGGTACCCACAAAGCCCTTATAATTGTTGAGCACAAGGCAGGACTAATGGACCTTTGTTCCATGCATGATTGTATTCATATTTAACTTTTCTCACTTTCATTGAACTAAAAACTGCAAAAATATGTCAATGCAAATTATATACAACTTCTATTTAATGAAAAAGCTAAACAGTAAAATTGAATACAAATGATTAATACTAAACATTTATTCAAAATTCTTCAATAAATTGCCCTATAATTCCAGAAAGATAAAATTTGCTTTCTCTGAAACTAACCTGACAGACCAGTTATAATATCAAAATGTTGAATATTTATCTTAGCTTAAAAATGTAAGTTTATATATGACAGTATTAGACATTAAGGCAAAAATTAATACCAGTTTTGATGGCAATACTTCCAGATTCCCCCACAAGTGGTTTTTGCTCAGATTCCTTCTCAGAAAAGGAAGACTCAGAGGATGGAACAGCAGATGATAGAAAATCCATAAAGGAAAGTAAAGCTTCCAAATGAAGTACTAAGTCCAAGGATGAAAATGAAACCTAAGATAATGAACAATTAGAGAGGCAGATTCCAGATATGCAATGCTTTTACCTTAAACCTCAACATATACGTATATACAACTAATTAGCTTAGTTAAAGGGCTTTAAAATTTTTTTTAAAGAATCACTATTACCATGTTATTCCTTAGGATTACTATTGCAATGTTAATCCTTACCAGACAATAACCTGACAGCCCACTCCCATGTGCCACTGCAATTCTAAACTCAAAAGGATTTGATGAGTTTTAAGATATAGTAAGCATTCCAAGACTGATTATATATTCAATAGACTGTGAGCAATGTCTGAATGAGGCCATGCTTTATTCTTGTGCCTAGACTTGTTCTAATCCTAAAGCAATACATAATTCAAATGTTTAATATGTCCATCAACACCAAGTCAAATAACCATGGTGAAAGAACATTCTCTTTAAAAATATACAATCAACAAGTAATAATTCACATCTGAGAAACAAATATTTTTCTCAGAAATCAATTCTTCATCCACCTATTTTATTTATTTTATACTACTTTATTTTACATAGTGTGTGTGTGTGTGTGTGTGTGTGTGTGTGTGTGTGTGTGTATGTGTTGCTGCGTACTAAACCCAGGGTCCTGCACATGCCAGGAAAGCACTCTACCACAGGGCTACTTCTCCAAGCCCATCCACTTATATTATCTATAAAATTAAATATATTATTATTGTCACCCTTATTCTAATTTTAGAACTTACAATCTTCTAATTGAAAATGGCTGTAAAGCTACATTTACTCATTATAAACCCAGCCTTATAGTGAATTATAAAAATTTACCTTCAGTCTCTGTTTGGTATTGTCATGAACAGTGTTAAATTCTGGCCCATCACTGTCCGCCTACAAATAGTGAATAATTAAAGCATTGGGTTACAAACACTAAAATGTGATGCATTGAAAACACTTTATTTTTTTAAAACTGTTCAAAGTATGCTATTAAAACAGTAAAAACATACTACTTACAGGAAAAAAAGAACATGTCCCCAAAACTGACCACATAAAGCATGTCTCACATTCCTCACATTCTACAGATGCAAAAACTCAAATTCCTCATCCTACTCTGGAAGAAATGCTAGTATATGTAGATTAGGTGGACCAAACCTAAATGTAGGAGAAATGCTAGTCTTCTAGATTATAACACACTTCAGAATACAGCAGAACTATGTATTACTCATATTTATTCAACACCAAAGGATAACTCAGAAGGCTAATAGAGTATCCGGGATCTTAAGATGGTTGGAAAATTCACCACAATCAACCAATTTAGAATGAAAAAAAGGGGGGGAGAAAATTGGAACATTAAATATGAGAGCAATATATATTACTTCATATACTTAAATATTCAAGAATTCTAGAAATGAAACCAGGTACCTTGATTAGCAACATTTTCAGGAGAGGTTCATCAGTTACATTAGAAGAGTTAACAATGTGAAGAGGTTCTCCTTTAGAGTCTAGAAGGGAAAAAGACAAGGTAACATCTCTTAAACACTTCAAACCATCTTTTAAGACAGGACCAGCCAGTTACAAATATGTATGCTTATCAAAACTCACAGAAAAGGATGAAYTAGCTTTACTATATAGAAATGATGTCTCAGTAAGCCTGGCTTTGAAAAAAGAAGCTCCATAAAAATAAGAGATAAATGAACAAACCTAGCAGTAGTCAATTACAACTGTTACAACACTTGGTACTACTGATATTACTCTCATTTGAACAAATCATAATATATTAAGGAATGAACCTAAAAAGTTTATAAAAAGTAAGAATTACTCTCAATGTAAGTTTGCTTGTAAGATATTTCAAGAGTTTCTATAAACTTTAAATACTCATAAAAACTCTGAAAGTTGGCTTGCTATAATTCAGAAAGTGAATTACAAAGGTCCAGGATACCCACTAAACAATAACTTATGTTTATTTGGGAGGAAAGGAATGAGACTACAAGATAATGTTAAATTGTTCCTTCTTTATTCTTCTGTATTATTTAATTTTCATTTTTACAAGCAAGCATTAATGTAACTAACAACAAATTTAAAACCTCATTTAATTTAAACAGATTTTAAAAATAAGAAATCATGTTTCCTTGTAAATTAACTTTTCAAAAAAGTCCATGGGGTCTGTACCTGGTTTCTGATTTCCTAAAATGTCAGTTCTAATGGCATAGTTATGTTGAAATGGTGCCTTTTATAAGTACTGAAGTGTTATATACATACATGGTTAATTTTTTAGGTATATTCCATTTTATGTTAAATATATACTTAGATATATTCTTTATTTATGATAATTACATGAGGTACATTTTTTAAATATCAAATTCCTTGTTATCACTGTAATAAATTTAATCTAAATAACTATGGTGACATAAATAAATGTTTAATATTGATAAAAGGACCATCTGCCTAATGAATAATTGACACAAATAAAACTTCACACTCACCAGTAAAATCAAAGCACCGCATACTAATTTTTTTTAGATAAGCTTTGGCAGTCATTTCATATGTTTTAACTCTAGCTTCTACTCCAAGCTGCAGAACATTGAGTTCATGGAAAGGCCTTCCTTTCTTTTCTGCTTTTTTCATCAGAGTAATCACAACCTTAAAGGATGCATCAGTATTACCACAAGCAATCTCATTAATATGCAATGTAGATAAATCAAGAATTTAATAACCATACAGAGTGATATGACCAATAGATTCAAACAACAACATTTATTTCCATTTGTGCCTGAAAATTGTTTATTGTTATTTACCTCAGGAGGCACATATAACTGTTAAAACTTTTGAAGCATCACCACTATTTTCTAGTGATTTTCAAAGGTAAAGTACAAAAATGACAATAAATAGAAATTTGGCCTAATTCCCAGATAATCTGGTCTGATGGATGGCTTTCATTTGAAAGTCTGAGATTAACAGCTAATTTGTATAGAACTCCTAAGGCAAGGAAATCTCAATGGTGGCACTGCTGACATTTTAAGCTAACAAATATGCATAACAGGGGGCTGTTACAGTCCTGTGCACTGTAAGATATTTGGCAGCATCCCTGACTCTATCCACCAGTTCCCGGTAGCAGTCTCCCACTATGTAAGTAAGAACCAAAAATGTTTTCAGACAACATCAAGTATTCACCTGGAGGATGCAAATTTCTCGCCCTCTACCCCAATCACTGTCCCAAAGGACAGGGTCTATCATAATATATATTACAAATGATATTAAAATGACTTACAGGCTTTTTACATACACACATTAATTAAGAACTTTGGAAACAGAATTATTTATCTAACAATGTTTGAATTGTCAAAATTTAAAAATCTTTAGCAACTCTGATATTAACCAGAAAAAATACTGGAGGTTTAATATAACAAAGTTAGTTTCAACACCCTTTTAGCAACACTACAAGCATGTATTTCAGTTCAAAAACACAGAATCCATTTGTATAAAAAGCTTATAATTTTTAGCTCAGAGAACACAAATATTTAATGATGAAGGGATTTTAGAGGAAGGTGCTTTCAGGTCCCTAGATCTACTGCTTTCTCACTTATTCAAAACTTTATGCCTATTCCTTTCTATCCCTACCCTAGCCCCTTTTCTGATCCCCCTTTTTTAGACTATTTATTTTTCCTTAAAAACTCAACTCAAATGTCACTTCTTCTAGGAAATCTTCCTAACCCTATTAGAACATCCCCTTGCTACCATCCATACCAGAAGCTCCAATGTCATACACTACTCTGAGTACATTTTAAATGAAAACATAAATACTTCAATTGTTTGAATTTGCATTCTGCCTCTGCATCTTTGGCATCTAGCACATACAATTTGTTCAATGTGTGAATAAAGAAGAGGAAAATCCACTTATTCTTTCCTCAAGAATCTGTAAATGGAAAGCATATGCTATATAGTAATAAACATTTATACCATATAGTATTAAACATGTTTTAAAGTGTAGACATACTGTATTTTATTCCATAAGAGTTTCTAGCATTTGCAAAGGATTTCTCAATCATTATTTCCTTTTCCTGCCTTTCTTTTATGGAACTGCAAAGCAAGCCACATTCCAACTGTCCTAGAATTATAATAGTGAAAAAGCAAGTTACATGAAATACTATCATTTTTAACTATGAAATAATATACACCCTATATATACTCATTCTTAATAAACCCTCAAATTTGAAAGCACCATTGCTACATGAAAACAAACTGTGTAAGATTTTTCTCTGCCTATTATTTACAAGTTTAAGAGATAATTCTAAGTATCCATTATTTATCTACCTCATTTTACARGAACATATGAAAATTACATACCTCTTTAATTTCAAAATTCAGCAAAATATTAATGATATCTACAGATCTAATTTCTTCCATTCCAGCTGTTAAAGTATCTTGTGAAACATGTACATCTTGTGATATAGAGGTTTCACAGGGCTCTTTAATTTTACCTAAAGATGTTCAAAAGAAACTCATTTCAGACATTTCTTTCACAGGACAAATATCAGTACTTTGGATCTGGCAAAGGCCTAAAAATACAGAAATCAGTCATCTCTCTAGCCCTTAGAAAACTCATGGTATAGTACAAGACACATATATTTAAAACACAAGCAAAACAAGCAGACCGCACTTATTGACATTAAGAGGGCAAATGTTAATAAAAATACATAAAATGCACAGAAAGCACAGAACAAGGTTTAACACCATTACAAGCAAGTAAAGAAAGGTTTAACACAAGAGGTACCATCCAAGTAGAGCTCAACGACCTGCACACAGAGAAGATATTCCAAGAAAAAAGTAAGAAATTGGGGAAAATCACAGAGTAATGACATGGGAGAGGTTTTATAAACAACAACTACAACAAAAAGGAAAAGTCATATGAATATGATGCTGTCTTTCTGAAATCAGCACATCCTGAAATACAATAAAATTGCTCTTTAAATTGTAATACACAAAATAGCAGTTGTCTCTGCTATGAGTATACTTGGGCACCAGATATTGTACTAAGTCTTATACAGGGATGGTCTCATTTAGTTTTTATAATATTCCTTGAAGGTAAGACTTTATTGTCCTCAAAATGCAGATAAAAATTGTATGAAATATGATATGTCAAGAGCTATGTAATGTTTTGAACAACTAATAAAAAAAATTGAGGGTTCAGACTGATTCAGTACCTTACCCAGTGTCACACAGATTACAAGGGGTGGTGTCCAAATTCATTCATCAGTCTGATTTGATTGCTTTCACTTTCAACCAACCCTCAATATCATTACATCATTCCTAACATTATCTTGATCACTGAAAGAGCAAACCAGAACCCTGAAATATCACCTACACCAGAAACCCATATAGAAAACCACTGCTATTTTTGCCTTTAAGAAAGCAATGCCTATGGCAAGGTTTCTTAATTTTCATTGTTTTCCAGCACTGCTCCAAACATAATTAGCCAGGAGTGTGGGGTGGTCCTAACAAATATTTTGCTCTTACAAAACAATTCCAGGAATACTCAAAAATTTCTTAAATATTAAATACAAAGCACTGATCATTTTTAAGACAGTAAATTGGAGTTTATTAAAGTTAACAAAGTCTACTAAATTCTATTAATCAAAGGACCCATGAGAGTTAAAAGGAAAACCAGAAAGGAAAAAACATTTCTACACATATACCAACACATATATTTAATACAAAAAATTAGCAAAGGACTCGTGTCCAGGATGAACAACAATAACAAAAAACTCCTACTTATCAATAAAAACAATGAACACCTTGGTAAAAATGACAGAATAGACTTGAAAAGTCAGGTCACAAGAGGGTATCCAAATAGCCAATATCACCCCCCCCCATACACTTTTTTTTAAAGGTGTTCAACTTCATTAGTTATTAGGGAACAAATAAAAAACATAGTAAAATATTACTGGATATCCACCAGAACGACTAAATTTTAAAACACTGACAATTCCCAAGTAAGGGTGAGAATACAACACAAATGGGACTCATATATTACTAAAAGTAAACAGGTACAAACACTTAGAAAACCATTTGATATAATATGGTATAAGTTACTAAAGTTAAAATGAAAACCTAACATAGAACCCAGTACTTCTACTCCTATCTACATATCCAAAAAAAAAAAAAAAACAATATAAGTAGAGTAGCCTCTCCTCCTCTAAGGGGGATACGTTATAAAACACCTAGCAGGAGCCTGAAACCACAGATAGTTCTATACATAACACACCTATGATAAAGTCTGATTTGTAAATTAGGCACAGTAAGAGATTAACAACAATGATTTAATTATTTTTTTTAGTTGTTGATAGAAGTTTTTTATTTTTTATTTAATTTTTTGCAGTGCTGAGAACCTAACCCAGTGCCCCACACATGCCAGGCAAGTCGCTACTGCTGAGCCACAGCCCAAGCCTGATATAGATAATTATAAAAAATAATCTGTAATAAAATTGCCACCAATGAGTTTCCACTACACTTGAACTTCGTGGTCATGTTAAATACTAAGGATCATTTGAATATAAGCACTGGGATAGCATAACAATCTACCTGATAACTAAGACAGCTATTAAATGAATGATAGAAAAGTAGCATATATCATGTGGATATGCCAAGCAAAGGGATGATTAATGTCCCTGGCAGAGCAGAATGCAATTTATAACTTTTAAGCTATTTATTTATGCAACTTTCCACTTGACACTTTCAAACCACTATTGATCACAGCTAACTAAAACCCTGGAAATCAAATCCACAAATAAAGAGAATTACTGTATGCTAAAAGATATATACAACAACAYAGCAACTTTATTCACAGTAGTCAAAAAATAGAAACAAACCAAATGTTCATCAAAAATAGAATAGATAAAAAACAATTCTGGATACATTTTTATATTTGAACATTACATAGGAATAAAAAGAGCCAACTACTATTAAGTACAGTATCAAAAGAATTTCAGGATGTGTTGAAAAAAAGCAGCCACATACAAAAGAGTAATTTATTCATAATTCCATTTACGTAAAACTCAAGAAGAGTTAAAATAATCTATAGTATTGTAAGTTGGAATGATAGTTACATCTGGTTGGATTTGGGGGAACATAGTACTGACTGGGAAGGGACATCAGGGAGGCTTTCTGAGATGCTGAAGACATGCAGCATCTGTCTCATGGTGACAGAATAGTTGTATCTACATGTAAAAGTTCATTAAGTTGTACACTTAAAATTTCTGTACATATATGTTATGTTATAGTAAAAAATTAAATGATGAAAAAATGTAGTGAAATATCATCTTTAACTCAGCAAATGAGCAAAAATTTTAAAATSTGACAATACACTATATTAACAAGTTATAGGAAAACAACCTGGTGCCGGGCATGGTGGTGCACACCAGTAATCCCAGTGGCTCAGGAGGCTGAGGCAGGAGGATTTTAAATTCAAGGCCAGGCACAATAACCTAGTAGCTAGTAGGCCCTGAGCAACTTAGTGAGATCCTATCTCAAACTAAAAAAAAAAAAAAAAAAAAGAAAAAGGGCTCATTGGTTAAAACACCCCTGGGATCAATTCCTGGTACCAAAGGGGGAAAAAAAGGAACAACCTGGTACAAGTACAAAACAGTAGAAGTCCTATGGAAGGTAATTGACAGATCTATCAAAATTTTAAATTATGTTTTTAAAATTGTATTAATTAATTTTAAATTTATAAAGATTACATACCCTTTAGCTGGTATTACCCTACAAGTACTTGTAAAAGTGCATGTACAGGATATTGAATGCAACATGGTTACAGTGAAAAAACTGAAAGCAAACTAAAATGTTTATAAAATGGAGACTTGCTAAATCATGAAATTTCCACAGACTCTAATACCAGGTAGTCATTAAAAAGAATAAAGGAGATCCATACATAGAACATATACCAATATAAAATGAACACAAGACATAATTTAGAAAAAAAATAAGCAAATTGCATATACACACAAGTGATACCATTTTTTGAAAAAACAAATTATATGTGTGTGTGCATGATACATTCATGTATATACATATGTGTAAAACAGCTTAAAATTTGTACTATAATTACTTAATTGCTAAATCAAAAGGGACGCAACTAATAATTTAAATTCTCTTCATTTTATTGCAGTATAATTTTTCAGTATCATCAGGGAATGGTACTTTATCAGCAAGTGCAATTCTTAAAAATATTTTACTACTAAGCCTTACTTAAAAATCACAAGAAGTATGCTACCATAAACAAGGACAAATTAAATACTTTTTTCTGTACATGTAAATACAATAATTATCCCAGGAATCCACAACTGAATATTGACCCCCTTCTTAATGTTCTTCAACCAACTTATATAATTTAAAAAAAAATGTTAAAATGACAATGGATTGACTGCTTAACTAAAAAGAATCAATCATCTCCAAATATAACTTCCTGTTTGCTTTCTTGGTAATACAAATTACAATTTGTAAATTATATTTGTTTACTTCTCTTATATTGTCTCTTTCAGAAAAGGATACACGTAGATGAGTGATATAGACTCTGTGCTTTTAACATGCACAAGACTCTGGGTTTGCTACCCAGCACCACAAAAATAGGAAAGAAAGAGATTATTATCTACTAAATTATAAAATAAAATAGACACATTTACTATGTCACCTATTGTCAGACTCTTACCTGTCTCTTGTATTCTTGGTTTCACTTTATCTAAGTCTTCAGTAGCCTCACCAAGATTTTCTCCTAATATTCTAAATAAAAGATTAAGATCTTCCTGATTTAGACTAACCTGTGAGATATTATGTTAAAAAAGAAAAAAAGGCATTTCATTGTACAATGAAACAATTTAATGCAGAAAACAAATTCTCAGTAATAAAACACAAAGGACAATATAACCTAACAATCAAAAATTTATATAATTACTATCCACTCAAGTATTTCACTACTCATTTCATGTAAACATTTTTATKTTCAAAGAAAATATTTATAGAACAATTTATAAGTCAATATGAACCACAATGACTTATCTTTATAAAAAGTTAATTATGATTCAAGAAATCTGATCTTTTAAAAGTGACAAATTTTGAAAATACACAGACTTCACTTTTTAAACAATAACAATTCCAGTGAAATAAAGACTGTTCTTAATATTAAAAATAGGCATTTCCCTCAATGCTATAATTATCTTTGGAGAACCTTAGGTATTCTAAAAATAAAAGTATATGTTTATAATAAATAGTATCAAAAGGAATATGTTAATAATTTACACACAGATCTCTGCAAATGCTTATAATAACAAATATGAAAGTTAAGTAACACTATCTGAAGATTAAATTATACTGAAAAGAATAAAATAACCCTGTTGTATATCATCTGGCTGGAATTGTTCTTATATCATTCAGTAAAATATTCTACCTTTTATTTGAATATATACTAAGAAAGTCTCCAGAGTTTACAATTTCAATGATGAAGGATTTTTCTCTCATGTACTCACATTCATTGAATCAAGATGTCCTTTAATTTCCACAACAGGCACTTTGTGGTACCAATTTGCAGCTAGATTTCGATTTACAGAAAACTCCAAATTAATTGGGTGCAACAGCTGAATATCAGGATGGGAGATGCCTGGCTGGATTATTGTCCTAATAACCAACAGAAATGATATATATGCAAAAATATAGGAGGAAACGCAACATATGATTTTAAAAAACAAAGTGAAGCAGCTATCTTCCACTCTAAGTAATGACTTTAAGCTGAACTTATAATTAAATTAATTTATAATCCATTGGCAAGGACAGATTAAAATATCTGATAAACAATGAAATTATTATGAATACCTTTATCTTTAAATAGCAGACAAGTGATAACTGCAAACATTTTAAAAACAAAGTCACACTCTTAAAAACATTGGAGAAATCATCAAATTGTTATTCAACGATTAAAAATAGTTATGTGCCAATAATGATGTGTCAGTGATGGCCCACATATATCACTGTGGTCCCTTGGGATTCCTCTTGCCTAGGGACTCTGTAGCTGTCATAAAGACAGTGCAATACAATATTTCTATATTTGGGGTAACACCAGTATAGATAAACCTACTACACAGCCAGTCATAAAAGTACAACATGCTCAATTACGAACAGCACATAATACTTGGTGATAATAAATGACTGTTACTGGTTGATATATTTTCTAGTCTTTCACTACTTAAGAATGTACTCCTTCTACTTAAAAAAATGTTTACTATAAAACAGTATGTCATGTTAAATTGGCTGAAGCCTCATACATCATATGTATCATGTTTACTGTGTATCCTGACCATATAGATTCTGACCAAGAGATCGCATGGAATGATTGGCTGATACCACCAATGTTTGTGTAAGGACACTCTGTGATGTTCATACAATGATGAGATAACCAAATGTGCATTTCTCAGAAAGTATCCCCATCTTTAAGTGAAGCATGACTATATATTTTTAGGTACAAAGACTAAGGAAAACATTAGCAAAATGCATGCTAACAACATTTTCTAGGGAGTTTCATAAAGTTTTTCTCCAGGACTATTTTCTGAACTTGCTTTACAATCATTACCTTTTTATTCTGGATAAAAATCTCATTTGATAGGGTAGAAAATAATTTTCTAATCTTCTTGTGTTTTTATGTGTCATGTGTGAGCACTGATGATATAAAATTACTTACAAAGTATTCCTGCCARTAATGTCTAAGCTCCATCAAACCATGATGAATCACTCAGATAAAACTAAATTGGGAACTGTTCCAGGAAGTAACCAGACTACACTCTTCAAAACCACGAAAATCGTGAAAAATACAGAAAGGTTAAAGGACATTCCAGAATAAGTGTATATTAGTACAGAAATCCCTCTTAATAGTACAGAATGCAATTAAATGCCATGTGTGATTCTGGTGGGGGGAATTTACTGTAATGGACATCACTGGATCAAAGGTATAACCTCAATATTGAATGCACATTAGATAATATTATACCAATACCAAATTTCCAGAATTTGATAATTATATTATAGTCAATATAACTGACCTTGCTTTCAGGAGGCACATTCTAAAATATTTAAGGGCAATGGGTCAAGATATCTATTCTCAAATCAGTTAGCAAAATATGATTTAAATAATAATACTATGTATACATATATTAAAGCAAATATAAAATTGGTAAAACTACTGAAATGTATAAAGTACACTCATGGTACTATTTCTATAATTTTTCTGTAGGCTTAAAATTTTTCAAAATAAAAAGCTGTTTYAAAAACAGCTGTATGTAATATGTAATAGAAGTTTGTTAGGTATGAGTTTCAACAATCACAAAATTTCATAGCAAAAATTAACATAATACTTAAATCCATAACCGCAGAAAGAGCATACCTAGAAAGCTTGAGTTTTGTGAGCTGCACATCCATTCTATCAATTACTGGAGGATTTAAGGAGTCTTCACCAGACACCAGACTAAATTGATTTTGAACTCTGATTAATCCAAGATCTACCACTACAGCATTGGTGGAAATGGAAGACTGTGGGATGATAATAACTGGTGCTTTCAAATCAATGTAGAAGGAAACACGAAGGCTCCTCTGAGCAAGGTCCTTCACACTCGTGGCAGCCTTTTCTGCAGCCTGGGCAGTGGCAGCACTCAGTGCCTCCTTAGCTGTCTGGAAATTGTTCATGAAGTTCTATGGACACAAAGTATAAAAGGAAAAAATAGACACATCAATAACACTTTCTGTATATATATATGCTTATTATTTTCAATGACTTTATAACATTTGTTATCATAATTATCAGATTTATTTATTTCTAAATTGAAAACTCAATATTTAAATTATGATTTTACCAGAAGTGACATTAGAAATTTATGAAGATAGATAATCTGAATACAGCCAACATTCAATGATAGCACAGCATCCACTTTGGACATATCAGTATACGAATCTCCCTCAGTAGCATCTGGATACAAATCCAAATTAAAACGAAAAACTTCATTTCCCATTATTGACACGGCCTGAAAAACAGAGTTGTGAATGTTCTGTAGTCAGGAAAGTAATGACAAAATAAAATCCCATTCAGAAAATGTTTTACATTTATAACCTTTATAAAAATAAATATTTAATTGAAATATATTTGTTTTTAAAAAATAAATTATAAAAATTTCATATACAATCATCAAAAATATTAACTGTTTACTATTACATACTTGTTTATGAACTGTCTTAGGATCAACATCTGTGACAATAATATTTTCCAATCTGGCAAAAAGTGATTGCTTCTTTGACTGAAGAGAAAGGGAGGAATCAAGGCCTGAAAAAAACATGTTATTATTATAAGTTCTACAGATCTGTCATAAATAAGATACTTATTTCCATTGTATAAAATTATTTTGAAGTTTTAATTTTTTAGCAATGTCTAAATCCCAATGAATAAAGTTCTAATATTAGATATTTTTTAGCTTTACAAACATCAAACCTATAAATTTATCAAAAACTAATTATCTGAAAAAAACACATTTAGTATATCTTAGAATTACACAACTCCTTTATACTTTAGGTCATTTTTATGGAGCCTGTTAAAGTCTCATGAACCAAATTCAGACTAGTAGATGTACTGCCAAGCCAAGACAAAGAAAACAAAACAAAAAAGAAAAAACCCAGAGCTTTCTGTTTTTTTTTAAATTCTTAAAGAATTTCATTAAATATATTACACATATTCTTTACCTTTACCAGATTATAATAATCTGACAAAGTTAAGGCCAGGAGAAAACCTAGATGAGTTTAGCAGATTTGCCTAAATGAACATAATGGGCTCACAGATTTTCTTCTACATTATAGGTTTGCTTTGCCTAAAGTACAAATGAATAAATATGATGTACAATTATATGATTATATATAAAGATAATATGAAGCTTAAAAAGGTCTAGTAATGATGAAGCATTACATAGACCTTCAAATGAATTGAACTGATGCTTCTCCCAGCCCATCAATGGTGTTCTAACATTAACATTAGTATTCCTTTCCACCTTGTAGACAACTCTCAGAAGGCCATAGCACATGTGTGTGGTTCAATTTTAAGGTCAAGTTGTGACTAACTTCTACAGTCCAAAAAGAAAGCATCCAGTCTAATCTCACACTGGCAGGTATTTCACAACTCAGAGCACTCCATTTGTATACTCCCTGGTATTGAGAAAGAAAGAGAGAGAGAGAGGGGGGCGGGGAGGGAGGGAGGGAGGGAGGGAAAGAAAAGAAGATCACAAGAGAATGAGTGTGCAGGCTTATCTCTTAATGAATTTTTAGTACTACAAGATCTTTACCTTGAATCTTGATTTCAGCAATATTGCTCTTCTCATCACAAACAATGACACAGAAAGCATTCAACTTGGCAAACAGCCTAAACCCAACAACGTCACTATCTTTAGAGGACACAATCACTAAAAATAAAACAAAGAATTCTATCACTGTGAGATTCCAGTAATCTAAATTTTGTTAAGCTTTTTTCTCCATATTAACTGAACCACAATTCTGCTAAATATATATAAATACACATTTTTTAAATTCTCAAACTCTTTAAGATCTCAAATACTTTTGTTTTGTATATCCTACAGAGGTATGTTACTTTTATAAGTTAAAAGCAAAAAAAAAGAAAGTAAAGAAAAAAAAACGCAAAATAAATAAAGACACTAGACATTACTTAAGGTCACACACCTTAAGTAAAAGAGTCAGAATTTGAGTGGAATTCTTTCTGATCTAAAATCTGAACTTGTTTAATTAGATGCTGTCCCTGAACCCCTTCCTTTGGTCTCTGGGTCTTGATTTCCACATATCTAAAATGGCAGGGAAAACTGAAATGGAACCTCTTCAGGAGCCACTGAGAAGGGAGGGAAGAGCTCAGAATAAATACAGATCTTGTTCCTCTATTACCCTCTCAAAGGCAACCACCACCAAAATAAGAGCAAAAACAAACATTTTCAAAAACAATAGCATGGGTTATATTTACCCTATAGATCAGGTGCTCACATACGATTCAATTTGAAGAAAAAGGCACAATGAGGGGGAGGGCATGCATTTGAATGATTAAATTAGATGATCTCTAAGATTCCTCATTTCACCCTAGAGTACTAAAACCCCTGCTAACAATAAACAAAACACATTTTTCATACCTTTCTGCAAAGGTGAATTCTTTTGTTTTTCAGTTGAAATCTGTACCTCCTTGACAACACTCACATTTTGACTATCTGATGGAATAATGGTTGTCAGGTAGTTAAYAGAAGAGAGAAGTGCTTGTGTTTGCAAGAAGAGATTTAAAGATGAAAAGGCCACCTAAAAAGATGTTTTAGGAAGAAAATTAGTTTTATTTGACCATTTATAACTTGTACTCCACACAGTGACCCACCCCCCACCCCGCCCAGAGGCTCCCAGCAGACTTTCTACCACTTGGAAAGAAAAGAGGAAAGGAAGGTTCAGGACTCTATAAAATAGGGAGTACATGGAAAGCAAGTTACACCCACACACTTGAGGGGTACATTAGAATACCATAMCAACTTAATTACTCCATCCTCCAAGCATAATGACAACGGAGTTTATAATCTGCCTCTCATGACCATCCTGATATTCAACATAAGCCATCCATAATGCCTTACTGGATTTTTTTAATATATTTATCTTTTGGATGTAGATGGACACAACACAATGCATTTTATTTTCATGTGGTGCTAAGGATCGAACCCATGTCCCGCCCATGTCCCGCCTGTGCTAGGCGAGCRCTCTACTGCTGAGCCACAATCCCAGCCCCCTTACTGGATCTTAATGGCACATTTATTATGATTATTTAAAAGATATAAATCAGAAAATAAAACTCCAGAACCACTACAAAACTCCAGGACCACTATGGGCTACTAATATGTTTAGAAATGATTCCAAAAGTAGCACCAATAAAATTTAACTACATAAGATACAATTGTAAGTTCCCAGTTACTAAGTGATCTCCAAAAACCACAATAATGGTTCCATCATTTAAAAAGAAACACAGAATACATGACTTGTAAGAAACACATATTAATTCCAAGAATGTGTGGCTTTCTAACAGCACATTTAAATAAAATCAAAATCTGTTCACAGAAAACAATTTTTCATTTCCTCAAAACACTAAATTGATACAAAAACCACAAAAAGGAAGGTTTTGAAGATTATGGCAGATTTTCCCCTCTCTCAAAAGCATTCATTTAAAGTCATATCTCTCATTTTCATTTTAGTGTAACACACAAATACTTTTCTTCTTCTTTCCTCTACAGTACTGCCTAAGAAGTAATAGCTTCAAAATTACTTACCACCTTTCTTTATACCTTATGCACTTCTTCACTCCTATTTTACAAGATGTTATTTAGTTTGGTTTGTTTAGAATCCTGTTAGTTTTTTTACTAATTTTTTATTTATATATGACAGTGGAATGCATTATAATTCTTAATATACATATAAAGCACAATTTTTCATATCTCTGGTTGTATACAAAGTATATTCACACCAATTCATGTCTTTATATATGTACTTTTAATAAAATGTCCATCACATTCCACCATCATTCCACCATCATTTTGAATCCTGTTAGTTCTCTACATATCAAAGTTACCTTTTCTATAGTACTCCCTTCCCTAGAAATAATACTGAAATCTTAGAAAAGATTATAGTAGGATATGATACAGTAAGTCAAAACAACTGCTTTAATAAACTGAATCACAGACACAGAGCAAGCTAAGTATATACAAGGTTAATTTATAACTTTCAATGGTCTCATCAAATAACCCATCAATATTCCTTAGAGGACAGTGAACACTTCCAGAATAGGTTATTTTCAAAAGGAATATATTTGTTTAATAAAATCCCTTACCTTAAGTGTTTGTTCCGTTTTTTCAAAAGTAGTTTGAAAGCTTGGTCCATTCCTATCAGCCTGAAAAAAGAAAGAAAATTTCTAAGGAACGAATTAAGACCAAAGCAAATAAATCCTTTATTTATAATCTCTGATTAATTTATTTATATTTACCTATAAATATATTTGTATCTATATTATATATTTAATTTTACTGTCATTATTTTAATGTTATATCCAAAAAACTTATTGTAATAATGTAAATGTTTTCTCTTCAAGCCTGGGATGATATTCATTGAATTCTGGGAAGAATTCTGAAGGCTGGAGAATATAAATTCCATAGAGTCCATCCATTACTTAATGCTTAAATCCCTCTATAAAGTCTTTGGCAGAGGTGGGTGTGATGGCACATACCTACAGTCCCAGCTACTTTGGAGGCGAAGGCAGATGATTGTTAAGTTCAAGCCCAGCCTGGGAAACTTAGTGAGACACTCTCTCAAAATAAAATAAAAAGGGAAAGGGAAGTGCTTGTTCAGTGGAAGAATAAGCACTTGCCTAGTATACAAAATCCTAGGCTCAACTTCAATTACTTAAAAAAAAAAAGTCTTTGGCAAATATAAATATATCTCTCCAGTGAAAGAAATGTTGTCTCCCTACAAGGAATTGAAATCTTTGCAGAATGTTTTGTTTCAATGAGTTCTTCATACTGAGTAAAAAGCAAACAAACAATAAACAAAACATTCATCTCCCATCATAACCCACATAACCCACCCCTGGTCCTAGTTCTATCTACTGGGAATAAACATAGTAAATTTAAACTCAACAAATTTACCACCTGTGAGAAACTTTTTGGCCAGACTAGTTTCCCTAACTTTCTGCTCCTACACTACTTTGTGCTTTTCTTTCTTAGAGAATCAGTTATGTTGTCCACCACTCAATGTTATATTTGGTTGTTTCCTTGCCGATCATGCCATTCTAGTATATAATTTCCTTGAGAACAAAGAGTATTTCTCATATCTGTATTCAAGTGCCTAACAGTAAAGGCATTTGATAGCAGACATTCAATAAATAGCTGGTGAATACTAATTAAACAAATCAACTAATCCTGAATGCAACCAAATACCATCAGTTTCTTCTACAGCATTTTTTATGTGATCTATTTTTCTAGTTTTGTTGTTTTGCTTTTTCATGTGATATATTTGAGTCTCTTGTCAATCCTAGCAGTTTCCTCTAACCCAATCTAAGTTGACTTTTCCTTTTGATGAAGAATACTAGGCCAAATGTCACCTTTGGATACAGTGAGTGGAGACACATGAATATGCCCCAGAAGACAGAAACAGCACCAACTTCATCCCAGGCTTCCACCTTTGGGGATTAGTAGCTTAATGATTTCATAAAGCCCTGTACTGAAGGGCTATTACAGTGAAAGACAAAGAAGGTGCACAAATGGAAGAGGAAATAGTAGTTATCCCTATAATTAAAAATGAAAACACATCCAGAACCATTAGTAATACACTGTCATCTTTTTTCCTCAGAGTATAGTTTTGAGTATACAACAAATACACAATCATTCTATGGTCCTTACCTTAATATATTCCACTTTTAAAAGATCTAATCCAGGTTTGTCAGAAGAACTAATCAAGTGAAGGGGTTTCTTTCTAGATCCTAAATTGAAAAAAAAAAGGAAAAAGGGCTTTCAAATAAACAGCTCTTCTAAAATTTTGAAACTTTCTAGGTATCTTTTTATTTTCTAAAACTACTAGTGAAGCTTTAAAAAAACATCTGTTCACATTTTCATGGTTACTGAAAATTACAAACTTTATATAAGAAATACAACTTACTTTAAAAACATTCATATTTACTTTTGCTTGATTTTTTATTTGTTTTCAAAATAATAAAAACATCTCCTACATATTTTTAAGGCTGTCTTGTGCATGTCTAGGGCAGCAGAATAGACTATAGGTTTAAGAATCAGGAAATATGACTTCTAGTTCATCTCTATCCTTACCAAAGGCTACTAATTTTTTTTTCTCAATCATATAACAAAAAGGCTGGACTAAAACAATCTAATATGCTATTGCACTATAAAATTTTACAAAATGTAATTTATTCGAAAAAATTAAATAATTTTCCTTCATTTAGGCTGAGAGTCAATTTACATAGAAAAGGTTTTTTTAAGGAAGGAGAATTATTAAAACTTTCTTTTTATCTTAAGAATAAGAAGTTCTATTAAATGTCCTCTAAATCCTTATGTAGAAGTGCCAACGTACTGCCGCCAAAAGCTAKGCAGAGAGGACTGATAGAGCCACCATTTCATCCACATTTTACTATTCACAATCTATAACTCCTGCTTCTAAGACATCTAATTTTCCCTTGTCCACTGAGGTCTCAACCTTCCCTTAAAAAAAGGCTTTAGAAATACATTAATTATATATTTTCCCTTAAGGCAGTAATGTAAACTCTGTATTAAGACAATACCTACAGAATACTAATAACATAAAACATTTTTCTTCCAAACGAAGGCTTAAAATTATAAAACATAGGTCTTTATATTTGACAAAAGCATTAGGCAAATATTAGGTCATTTTAATTATGTGGATTTATCCCTTCCTTCATGCCTCAAAAATATGAGCACACAAGGTAAATGGTTAACAAACTACAAAAACTTCTAAGAGTTGACTTTGCATTCTACCATTTTAATTTGGATAACTGGTGCTTCTTGTTGATACATGAACACAATTAAATAAAACAAGACATTCAATATCATAATACCAGAGACAAATTCTATGCTTTTGCCATTCATGAGTTACATGATATTGAACTTGGCAATCAGCCTAAAGCCTACTTATCAGTTCATTCATGGATAAATTATATGACCAATTTATGACTTTGCTAGATATCCACTGGAGATAATAATGCTACCTATTTCACAGCATTGTTATAAAAATTGAAAGTTATTATTTGTAGTGAATACTGTAGAACAGTATTTGCTATTATTTATTATGTAAATAAAAGTGCTTCAGACACACAAAAGTGCTATTTTTATTACTGGCCATTATTTCTATTTTTTTAAACTATTACCTTGAATTTCATGGTAATCCAAGCTGATTTTCTTTAAATAAGACACTGCAGTTAAGTCAAATGTTCTTACTGTCGCCTCTGTTCCTAACTGTGTAACATTAAATACTAGAATTGAGTCTTCTTCTTTCTGTTGTTTAGTGAATTCCAAAATCACCTAAAAGAATTATCACATCCAATAAGAAAAGTGTATGTCATACTTAAAATAAGAAAACCAAAATCTTTCTCCATACATATCACCATGACAATAGTGGAAACACTACTCATATTCCTGATTGGAAAGTATTATCTTAAATTTTATTATCAAGAATATAGGTAACTTATAAAATATTCTTGTAAAATTTAACATTATTGATTTTTAAATTTAAAAAAATAGAAAAACTATGGATTCTTAATATGATTTTCTTAAAATAAGTAATGTTTGGTGATGACAGAAGCATCACCAAAAGCATTTTATTAAAGTGAAAAGTAAGACAAGAATGTTTATTAGCATACTACTACTTAATTCTAGAAATTACAGGCAATATATTCAGCCAATAAAAAAAAGAACATGTGTGGCAATTTGGGGGGGGGGGGTTTACTGGGGATTGAATTCAGGGACACTAGAACACTGAGCCACATCCCGAGCCCTATTTTGTATTTTATTTAGAGACAGGGTCTCACTGAGTTGCTTAGTGCCTCGCTGTTGCTGAGGCTGGCTTTGAATTTGTGATCCTCCTGTCTCAGGCTCCCGAGCCACTGGAATTACAGACATGTCCCACCACACCAGGCACATGTGGCAATATTTTAAAACCTGCAAGTTCTTTAACTCACTCATCAAAAGGTAGAAATCTTTGGCCCCACCTTTTCAACCTGGCCAGGCTTGTGAATACTTCAATCAATAACGTATAAAAAAATTATGCTATAATGAATTTTGCAGRAAGCTATCCATGAACTGTGAGTGAACTAAAATGATGTTGAAGCCTTTTAGGGAGGAAAGCCTGGTATGGGGAACTTCCAGCAGCAACCTTGCTAGTTTGAGAAAGTCTGGTTCATGTGGCTTCCTACCTCACTCCATCACAAGTTCAGCACAGCACTGCACCGGAGATGGGGTGACTCCTCGCTGAAGCCACAAAGCCTCTCAGAGATGGGTGCAGCTTGACAAAATGCCAATGAACCTGTTTACTGCAAGACCCCAGCTACATCGAGAAGCAAGCACTGAACAAAGACTATCGAGACTCCTCCYGCTGAAACCTTAACCCTGCCTTTGATGTACTCCCCCTTAAATAAAGAATCAGAGCCTTTGTTCAGTTGTTCAGTTCCAGCTCCTATCAGGACTGAAAAACCTATTATATGCTCCCTTTTTATTAATTTCTGGCTCTGTCTTTATTTCTTACTAATTATTTCAGACTTTTTACTTCCAGGCATCTCACACCTCCTAAGCAGGAACCTACCCTAGTGGGATGCTGGTCACCTCGCAATAAATTCTGATGACAGAATTTTAAACTCCCACCTCAGAAAGTTGACCCTAGAAAAAGCTAATTGCCATGTAAGAAGTTCAGCTATCCTGACACTGTCATTCAGGGGAAGGCCTGAATATGTGCTTCAGACAATAGCCCCAACAGGGCCCCCAGCCTGCAACCAGTAGGAGCTAGCAACCTAGTGAGTGAACAACTATGGACATCCACCATGGACTTCAGATTGCATCCCCAAGCAATACATGTATGAAATGAAAGACTATACATAAAATAACCCAGTTGGATCGGTCTAGAATTCCTAACCCACAAACTGTGAGCAAACTAAAATAGCTGTTTTAAGCTCCTAAGTGTTAGGTAATTTGACAGCCAAGAATAGTAATCAGAATGACAAAAATGCTGAATGAAAAAAGGCTAAAATTAATCTTACTAGCAGATGACATAATTATATACTTAAGAAAAACCAGAAGTGTTAGCAGAATAACACTAAGATAACAAAAGGTAGCACAATAAAGTATTAAGTACAGCTGGGCACGATTCTGCATGCCTGTAACCCCAGCAGCTCAGGAGGCTAGGCAGGAGAATCACAAGTTCAAAGCCAGCCTCAGAAACTTAGTAAGGACCTAAGCAACTCAGTGAGACCCTATATCTAAACAAAATACAAAATAGGGCTGGAGATGTGGCTCAGTAGTCGAGTGCCCCCAAGTTCAATCTCTGATAACACACAAAAAAAGTATAAGTATAAAAGTGATAAACAAAAATAAACATCATAGAAATAAATTTTTATTAAATGATATAAAAAGTAATATATAAAATCATGGGTAAGTTTTTGTTGTTTTTGTTTTGGGTCTTGCTATGTTACCCAGRATGGTGTCCAACTTCTGAACTCAAGGGATCCTCCTATCTTAGCTTCCTATGTATTATTGGGACTACAGGTGACACCACCATGCCAACCAAGTATTTTTATGATAATTTTCTAAATATACACTAAGAGTAGGACATAAAGATAAATTTTATCACCAAATTATTTATTTATTTATTTGTTTGTTTGTTTGTTTGTTTGTTTATTTATTTATTTATTTATTTCGTGGTGCTGGGGATTGAACCGAGGGCCTTTTGCATGGGAGGCAAGCACTCTACCAACTGAGCTACATCTCCAGCCCGCAAAATATTTATAACCTCAAGATTGTTTAAAAAAAAAAAAAAAAAGTCACACTGGGAAAATATTTTGAAATAGCAATACTATTTTTTCCTTCGGTGTCTGGCTGTTTTTCACTTTACTTCATCATTCAATATTCAATGAAATATTTACTGGGTATTTTCTAATATGTATCAGGCTATGCCATCAACCAAGGACACACCAAGGAAAACAGACCAGACATGGTCCTTGTCCTCGTGAAGGATATATTCTAGAGAAAATGAACATTGCTATCATGTGTTGTGTGATCAAGACTTTGCAATAAGATGACATTTGAGCAAATACCTGAAGCAAGTAAAGAATCAAGCCATGCAGGAAAAGGGTGTCCCAGGCAAAGGAAAAGGCAAGCACAAAGAATGTGCTTTGGTATACATAAAAAAAGAAAAAAGACAAGTGTAAACTCCATGAGGCAGGAACATTCCTCACTATTGTTTCCTTCATGTACAATGACTGGTACATGATGGTACCTGGATACATACTTACTTATTGAAGGAATAAATGAAATGTGACTGCAGCAGAGTGAGCAAGGTGGGAAAGAACTAAAAACAAAGCCAAACATTCATGTGGGGTGACCTGTGGAAGGCCTTATAGGCCATGGTAAAAACTGAGTCATTACTCTGAGAAAGATATGAAGCCAGGGGTTTTGAAGAGTAGTGATATGATTAGAGTTTCACTTTAAAAGGATTACTTTGGCTATTGTATGGAGAACATAGAATTCGATCAAAATGGAGATAGTTAAGAGGCTACTGCAAAGATCCAGGTAAGAGATAATGATAACTCAGTACGTAGCAATGGAAGAGAAGAGCCATAATCTAAATGCATTTGGAAGAGTCAAGGGACTGACTGATATTGTGGATCAAAGTATAAAAGAAAAAGAGAAGTCAAAGAAGGCTAATGGTAGAAAACATACCTCTTTTTAAAACAAATACCAATAATACTTATATTTGTACACACAATTCATATCTGACATTATTTTAGATAAGCTCTCACTTTAGGATATAAACAATAAATAAGAAACATCTCTACTATGTTTTGTTTTCTGTTACCAAGGTAATATAAACTTATTATCAAACTTTAGAATATGAAAAAGGAAACAGGCAAAAATGAAAAACTATAATCCCACCATCCAGACATGAACACTATTATTAACCAAAGAAAATGTATACACCATAATTTTAAATGGATTTATAATCGTTGGTATTATAATGTTTTTTCCTCCAGTTTTATGTTGTAAATATCTTTCCAGGTTTTCTTTTACTATATGACTTTAAAGGCAATAAAAAAAAACATGTTGGTAATTTAAATTGTTGACATTTTTCCAAATTATAACCATGACAATAAACAATATTATTCAGCACAAAAGTGGAAATTACAAAAAAATAAATAAATAAATGTCACAGAGATTTTCTGCAGAAATGCAAATTCTAATTAATAGTCTTAGGCAATTCCAGAATAGATCAGATTATTCCCATGGGTCATCCTTACATTTTTCTTTAAAAACAGTATTTCATTTTTCAAACAGTCCACATGTTTAAGTGTAAGCATGCACATGCACTGGGCAATAAGAAAGGCAGAGCACATTTTTAATATACTTGATACCTGGGTCTAGCTTATAGTTAAGAAGATAGTGGCAACAAAAATATATTTGTGGACAAAAAGTCTACGTACTTCTTTAATTTCAAACTTGAGTAGAAGATTAATGAGTTCCTCATTTGGAATCTCTGCAGCTTTTTTAAATTCTGTTCCTTTGATACTTTTAGCAATCTGTGAGTCTCCATCTTCAGCATCAAAATACTCATCATCAGACTCTAAAGGAAAAAGATATTCATTTAGTCTTACATAATGTCCACTGCAAACTGCACAAAACACTCAGACCTGAATTTCCCAAAAGTAAAATTCATTAGACATAAACTTCATATACAGACTCAAAAGTCTGAATTTTTAAAGTTCCATAAAGTGATTTAATTTGGCATGTGACTATCAAATTAAAAGTCAAATAGCACTACTATTTTCACTTAAATAATTCTGCTTTTTACCTTATTTCATTTATTCAATATGCAGTAAGATATTTATTGGGATCACCTATCTTATATCAAAGTGCCCAGGATAGACATGATCTTGCCTTTTCAAAGCTTACATTCTAGTTCAAAATTAAAAGAAATCAGACCAGGATAGAAAAAAGTATCACAAAGAGAATGAAGCAAAAACTAAAATAAAGTAACTTATTTAGAATCTTAAGTACTGTCAATCACAAATTGTCATTCATCCAATGAAGGCAGCTGAGCTTAAAAAAAAAAAAAAAGTGACCCAAAGTCACAGCATTCGTTAGTAGAACCAATAAATTGCTATAATACTTTCAGAATTCCTTTATTTTCTGAAAATGTTATCTSTAGATAACAATTTATAGGCTTGGCTTGGCAACAGTTTATATTTCTTACCTGATTCCACTCCATCTAGCAACAGTGAAGTACCAAGTAGACCTTTGGTCCCTTCTGAAATAATAGGAATTGAGGATATCTGGCAAAGAATATAAAAAGCTTTCTTAAAATTACTGATTTAGCAAGACTAAATATACATAAATGAGGCAAAGAACAAAAAGTAATAGAAGACAGAGATGAAAAGATACATATACACAATACACAAACTTTCTAATAAGACATCTCATGTAATCAGCTAATAATTGGTTAGATTTTATAAATTATTAAGATTAACATCCACATTTACAAAGACAAAACTAAATATAACTCCAGTAGGTAAGTCTATTTCATCATTCTGTGTCGTTTAGTTGCTGCCAACAACAATACTAAAAWGCACGTTTATTCAGGTCCCTGCAAAATGGTATCACCATCAGTGGACTCTCTGATATTTCATTTCAAAGTAAGTAGAAATACAATATTTCTTTTATGCTACAAAGATCATTATAATTAAAGTGACCTAGAACTTTTAAGTCCTACATATAAGAAAATTTTATATCATTAGTTTATTGGCAATTTAACAAAGAAGATTTCTAATTTTGGCTCTATTTAAAATGTTTTACAAATTGATAAAGTTTTTACTTTCATTTCTTTATTTCTTGTCCTTTCAGTCATAAATTCCATAAATCTAACTTTCTATGAATACTTTAAAATAATAATTTTCTAATCAGGCGTGGGTGTGGTRGCAGAAGATCAAAAGTTCAAGGTCAACCTGGGTAACATAGTGAGACCCTGTCTCAAAATAAAATTTAAAAAGGGTTGGGTATGTAGCTCAGTGAGTTCAATCCCCAGTACAATGAATGAATGAATGAATGGTAGTTCTGTGAAAAGAGAAGTTTCAGTATATCTATTATAACCACTTACCTGTCTCTCTGCAGACTGTGTAGATGATTTCTGTGGCAAAGGTATACTGTTAATCAAACACAGCATATCTTTCATCTTCTGGTCAGAAATTCTCACATGCATCAAAGGAAGTCCTCCTGATACTTTAAATCTAAAAATATAAATTAACTGTAAGGTTTCAAAGTCAGCTTCTCTGTATTGTGAAGAGGGGATCAATTTGAGAAGGGACTATATTGTCAAGTCAAAGTTGCTTTGGACATGTTTTAATCTAATTCCACTCTTGCTTCATTTAGACAACATTATCAGGGAATGGAAAGTTCTATGTAAGATAATTTAAGTGTTCCATTCTTATGCAGTTAGAACTTTTTACGTTAACTAATTGTTATGACAATCCTTCACAACTGTCTACTTTTTAAAACCAAAATCACCACACATACTTTATTTCCTAGAATCTCCAATTTCTTATCAGTATCAAAGAACACCTACCCCATTATTCTCTATCTTCTCACTTTTATTTTTTATATGTATGGCAGTGGGAAGCACCTGACATATCGTTTGTRCAATTGTTTATTTTGGTTCTCCTGATTAAAATGTAAGCTCCATGAGAACATCCATTTAACTAGTAAACCACCAAGCCTGTATTTATCTGTCATGTAAATTTGGGCAGCTGCTCTATTCTGTTCCTTACTCAGTACAACTGCATGACATTTGTTTGTGTCAATACCTTCCTGGCAGCTATTTGCTGCTCATAGAACTCTTTTAGGTTTATGTTTGGCTTCCTGACTAAACTGTGAACAGTTCAAGTTGACAGATGCCCAATTGCTAGGTGGATTATTGGGGTAGAATAAAGCAGTATTTATGGAGAAATTTGTAGTACTAAATGCCTATATTGGGAAAAATAAAAAGCCTCAAATTAATTACTTTAGCTTCTACCATAAGAAACTAAGAATGAAAAGCAAATGTAACTCAAAGTAAGCAGAGGAAAACAAAAATAAGCAGGAGAGTAGAAATCAGGAAGATTAAAAAAATAGAAACAAAATATAGAAAATAATTTAAACCAAAAACGGGTTCTTTCAGATCAACAAAATTGATTAACACTAGTCAGATTAAGAAAAATAAAGAAAAGACATGAATTACAAATATCAGGAATGACAGAGATAAGATCACTTAACTTAGAGATTTAACACCTTAGAGATTCTTAAGGTGTTAAAAATGTAATATGGAAATACAAAAATAACTTTATGCCAGTAAACTCAATAACCAAGATGAATATATTTCTTGAAATATAAAAAAAAATCACTGCAAACATACTTCAAACCCTTGCTCAAAACAACTAAAATACACAAAAGAGCATTCTAAGGAATAGATAATCTGAATAGACATGTATCTACAAGAGAAACTGAATGTGTAGTTAAAATTATCTCCAAAGAAAATTCCAAGCTGAGATAGCTTTACAGCTAAATCTACCTAACATTCAAGAAAGAAAGAATACCAATTCCACAGATCTTCAAGATAACCAACATTACCCTTATAACAAAACAGGAAAAGCACAAACCAATATCCCCCCCCCATCAACATAGATATAAAACTTCATAACAAWATTTCTGCAAGCAAAGACCACAATATTTTAAAAGGTTAATACATTATTTCCAAGTAAGCTTTATCTGGTAAGGAAAGGCTGGTTTAACATCAACCTGACAAAGGGTATCAGGAACTATTTGATACATGCAACAATATGAATGAATCTCAAATAAATCATGCCGAAAGTAGCTAACCAAAAACTCTATGATTCTATTCATATTAAATTTTAGAAAATCCTAACAAATGTAGAGTRTCAGAAAACACAAATATACAGTGTCACCTAGGGACTAGGGGAAAGGAGTTAGGTGAGGAAAGAGAGACTTGGAGGTGATAGAGACATTCAGTACGTTGACTGCAATAATAGTTTCATGGAGCTATACATAGGTCAAAACTTCATTACATTGGACATTTTAAATGATATAGCTTATAGAATTAAACCACAATAAAACTTGTTTTTAAACAGCAACATAATTTCACAATTATCTACTTAAATTCAAAATTCATTTTCTATTTTTTTTCCTACATTTCTCACAGTTTATATGGTTTCAGGATGAAAATAGCCTCTAATTTTTTTAAGATTTTATTTTATGGATATTGAATCCTGAATTGAATCCATTCAAAAACATGGATTATCAATTTTCATACAACATTCAAATAAGAATTCTAAAATGAGATATATGAGATATAATTCAAACAAATGTCTTCTTTAAAATGTTATTTCTGCTCCAAGACAGAATATTCAGTATTTTTCTGGCTCGCAGAGATACATTTTTTGCTTCCTTAAAATTTAGTAACTGATGGAGATATAGGTCACTTTGTTGATTTCTAATACAAAAGAAGTGCATATATTACCTGGCCATTCTAGCGTCTTTCTCTACCATTGCCTTGGCCAATTCAACATGGATATCCATTGGTTGCAATATATGCATAGTTGATGGATGCTGAAATCGACACTTTTTCCAGTTTTCCTCTTTAAAAAAAATAATTTAAAATATTATTTTTAAAAAATTATCAGATATTCTGTGGAAAACTACTCTGAGTTACTAAAAAAGAGTTATCAGAGTCAATGAACACCAATTTTTAAATCTTTCAGCAAACAAGTTAAATAATCTTTATTTTCAATATAGACTGACAGAAGTCAGTCTGTGATATAAAAATGATTCTAGATGTTTGGAGAACATTTATATGATAATACCTTGCATTTCAAAACAAAAAGGGAAAAAAACCCAGGGTTTATTACCTCAATCTACAATTGGTGATCAAGGTGAGTGGGTACAGTGAAGAGAGAAAACACAGGTGAAAAAAAAATGTTTATGGTTCCTAAGTGCAATAGATATACAAGCTTAGCATTTAATTTCAAAGCAAAAATATTTTATCAAGCTAAATTTTTTGACCAAAAAAAGTGTAATAATCACGATTCTTCAAAAAAAGAGATCTGAAAAACAGATTTCCCAGTGGCTAACAGGATCCTATGCAGATCTTTATTGATGGACTTTTACACCTTGTAAGTCAAACAATTATTCACAGATAAGTATAAGAGAAAAGGCAGTTTTAATCATCTGTTTAAGTACTTCCCCTAAAGGAATTAACAGGCTCCTAATACATAAAATCCAAAATTTTCTTTATGTTTTTATAAATCCTACAAGAATATAAATCCTGCTTTTAGAGATTATGTCTGTACCTTCCTCCAATGACTTATAAAGGGCTATACTCAAGGATGGTTTATACTTATTGCCTCTAGAAACTAAAGTACAATGGACCAAAAATCTATACTTAAGCAATATAAAACACAAAAGCTTTTGAAAAATAATTATCTTTAAAGTTTTAGGACTATAGCTACAGGTTAGGTACCCCTAACTCAAAATGTTTTAGACCAGAAGACATGCCTTGGATTTAGAAATTCTGGGGGSTGTGGAAATATTTTCATATACATAATTAGATATCTTGGGGATTGGACTCAAGCCTAAAAACAAAATCCATTTATATTTCATATATACCTTAAACAGGTAAGATGAAAATTAATTTTACACAATATTTTTAGTGCATGTTCATTTTGACTATAACCTGTCACATGAGAGCAGGAGAATTTTTCACTGTGGTGTCATCTTAATACTCAAAAAGTTTCATATTTTGGAGCATTTCAGATTTAGGATGTTTGGATTATGGATGTTTAACCTGTACTATATTGTAGATATATATTTCTCCAGTATCTATAAAGCAGAAGTTAAAGTAGTACTGAAATGAAGCACAGGCTAATACAGTAAAATACTTAATTATAAAAGTAATAAGGAAAAACACTGAAACATTCCAAAAGCATTAGGACAGAAGCACTTGAACCAAATGAAACTTTCATTTTGTATTCTGAGCTGATAAAACAGCTACAATGCAAAAATGGGCTTAGATAAAAACGTTGCTAGGTAAATTTCTATTTCTAACTGTGATGGTGATTTGCACTGGTAAGTCCTGTTTGGTGTTCTACAGGCTATATATGAAAACAGTTGTCAGAACTCATAAACATATACATATATACATACACTACTAAAGCTACTCAACGTAAGACCTTAAAGGATAAGCAGTGGTTTACCTGCTCTTGCAAAGAGTAGTTGCACACTCTTTATTTCAATATCAAACTTGTCATATGCTTTATCCATTATTTCTTCCAGAGATGAATTAGTAGTTTTCTGTAAACCTTTATCTTTACTGTTGAGCTAAAATGGAGGAAAAAAATTCTTAAATTTTTCACAAGAGGAAAGTACTTACATCAACTCTTCGGTTATGGGTGGAATAGACAAACTCTAGATAGGGCAGAGGGGTTGGAGGGGAAGGGAGGGTGCATGGGGTAATTAATGATGGTAGAATGTGATGATCATTACTATCCAAAGTACAGGTATGAAGATATGAATTGATGCGAATATACCAATGTATACAACTAGAGATATGAAAAATTGTGCTCTATATGTGTAATAAGAATTATTATAATGCATTTTGCTGTCATATTTAAATTTTAAAAAATTAAAAATAAAAAAAAATCTTACTAAAATGAGATTACCCTTAAAGAATCCAGACTTTACTTAAGTTATTGGTAATTATTTACACTACTTTATTAGGAGTATAATATTTTAGCATACATCTACTATGTTTGAATAATAGGTACCAAGCACATTTTCAATAATTAGATCAGTTACTCAGCTGTCTGCCTTAAATAACCTGACTAAAAAGGAAACTCTTCTTCCTGGCTCTCAGAAGGTATGGCTTAGGGCTCAGCTCCCCTACACTTTGCATCCTTCACCTAAATAGCAGGGTTCTGTTCCTTTTCCTAGCGATGCTATGAAAGCAATTAGGTCATTAGAATTCAGTTCCAATCTCTCTTTTCCTCCTTCCCAGTGAAATTTAGGACTACACTTTTTTAAAGTGTCACCTTTTCCAGAAGATTCAAAATTCAAAATATAGGAGTTCTAATTGCTAGAGATGAGTTTTTTCATATATTTGTTGACCATTTGTATTTCTTCTTTTGAAAATTATCTACTTTAGTTCCTTTGCCCATTTACTGCTTGGGTTGTTGTTTTTGTTTTTGATTTTTGTTGTTAAGCTTTTTGATTTCTTTGTATATCCTGGAAATTAACACCTTATTTGAGGTGGGGGTGGCAAAAGATTTTCTCTCATTCTGTAGGCTGTGTCTTCATGCTTTTGATTGTTTCCTTTGCTGTAAAGAAGCTTTTTAGTTTGATAAAATACCATCTATTGATTTTTCATTTTACTTCTTGCACTTTAGGAGCCTTGTTGAGGAAGTCAGTTCCTCAGCTGACTCGATGGAGAGTTAGGCCTATATTTTCTTCTAGTAGGTGCAGGGTTTCTGGTCTAATACCTAGGTCTTTGATCCACTTTGAGTTTAGTTTTGTGCTGGGTAAAAAACAGGGGTTTTATTGCATTCTACTACATATGGATTTCCAATTTTCCCTGCACCATTTGTTGAAGAGGCTATCTTTTCTCCAATGTATGTTTTAGGCACTTTTGTCTAGTTTGATACTATTAATGTGGGTTTGTCTCTGTGTCCTCTATTCTGTTCCATTGGTCTTCATATGTGGTTGGTACCAATACCATGCTATTTTTGTTACTATAGCTCTGTAGTACAATTTAAAGTCATGTATTGTGATGCCTCCTGCTTCACTTTTCTCACTAAGGATTGCTTTTGCTCTGGGCCTCTTATTTTTCCACATGAATTGGTGCAACCACTCTGGAAAGCAGTATGGAGGTTCCTCAAAAAAACTAAGAATGAAAYCACCACTGGACCAAGTTATCCCAGTCCTCGGTATTTATCCAATGGAATTAAAATGAATTAAATGTCACTACAGTGACACAGCCTCAATGTTTATAAAAGCACAATTCACAATAGCTTAAGCTATGGAACCAACCTAGGCGCCCATCAACAGATGAACAGATAAAGAAAGTATGCTTTATATACACAATGGAATATTACTCAGCCATAAAGAATGACGTTATGATATTTGCTGGTAAATGAAAAGACCTGGAGATTAGCATACTAAATCAAATTAGACAATCCCAAAATATCAAAGGTCAAATGTTCCCTCTGATATGTGGATGCTAACACACAACAAGGGGGTTGGGGGAAGAATACTTAATTACTGACAGTAGTTAAAACAAACCTATGCTCCTAGTGTACAATTTCCTAATGTTAAAATATATTAGCAACAGTAACACTGTATACTTAAACTTTACAAACCATGAAAACTGTTTATCTCCAATTCAGAAAAGACGAAAGTAGTCCAGTCCTCAATGTCAAATCACCTACCATTACAGAAAATTCTGGGGTGTTTTGTTTTAATCACCATTTAATATATATAAAATATTCTAAGCTAGGCTTGAAAAAGTAAGTCTATGTTTAGTTTAAGTGAACTGTCAGGGAAAAAACTGCAAGTTATCAGATATCAAGCTACCAAGCTTATCAAAAACAAAAATGCATATATACATACCTGAAATGTACCAAAATCTAAAATGAGAAGATTTGACTTTTTTTGGTGAAAACCTGACTGTGGAATTATTAGATAAGAAGGCTTTAGATTTATCCTTAAATCAAGGACTTTTCGAGTTTCAATAATATGTGTAAGTCCTGAAGAAGACAAAAAAAAAAAATGATTAAAAGTTCAAGTTAAATATTAGTGATCATACTATTAACAATCAGACTAAGAATTTTACTTCAAAAGCATTAGGAAGAGTGTCAATTCTTCTCAAAGATTCTCAATTCAACATATGAGGTGAAAACTGAATCTATTCAATAGGATATGATCACATCAGCACACATAAGTACAGTAAACCCAACACAGCTACAATTTTATCTAAAGACAGAATAATTTACTATTTCCCTGGTTAAGCAACCAGATAAAATAGCTGGCTTGAGTTTAGAGGCCACATTATACAAAACCCCATATCTTTAAAATTAGTCATTCAACTTCTTAAGAAGTGAGATGGAGGGATATTTCCACCTCAAGCCCATTCTGAGGCAATGTTCCTATAAGTAATGCAGGCAAGAACCACGTGTGCCAGATATTATTCTTTCTCATCTGGTGTAGAAAGTATATTTGGCTTTGGTTAAGCTATGTCCACTAAGTAATACAGCCTGAATACAAATCAAAGAAGAAAACAACCTATATGATTTTAAATATAATGTTTACATTAGATTAGACAACATTTTCAAAGCTTAGTTGATGCTTATATAGACACTCAGATTCTTTACCTGTAGCTGTTCTCTCTTTAATTTCTTCCAGCTTCATCAATGTAGCTGATGTTATCTGCTCAAGATCTAATCCCCTATTTGACTGAAAGAATTCAACTACTGCATTTATGGTTTTCTGTAAAAGAATTTTAAAATACAACCAAGTTATACATAATTCTTCTATATTATAAATTGGGGGGGGGGAATGGGATTGAACTCAAAGGCACTTAACCACCRAGTCACATCCCAGCCCTATTTTGTATTTTATTTAGAGACAGGGTCTAACTGAGTTGCTTAGAGCCTTGCTAGTGCTGAAGCTGGCTTTGAACTCATGATCCTCCTGTCTCAGCCTCTCAAACTGCTGGGCTCATAGGTGTGCACCACCACACAGGCTATATTATAAATTTTAAGGTTTCAACTCAATTCTAAAGAACTGTCGCTTTGAACTAAGAAACCTAAAGATATTCTGAGGTGAATACTACATCTTCCTCTGGAGAGGCCACAGATTAGTACATATCATTAAGGTGCCAAATATTTTCTATAGTGACATATGTATCAAAAGACATTACTTCTGGTTTTAGCCTCCAATTAGATGGTAAAATTCCACTWATTGAAACTGTAATTGGATGTTTGAATTTTGAAGTTTAGAGCAATAAGGAAAGCTGTTCACCTTTACTGGCATGTAAAATTAAAAGTAAAAAAGAAAAATCAGGGAGCTGGGACTGTAGCTCAATGATAGGGTACCTGCCTTGCACATGTGAGGCCCTGGGTTCGATCCTCAGAACCACATAAAAATAAACAAATAAAGCTATTGTGTCCATCTACAACTAAAAGAAAACATTAAAAAAGAAAAAAGAAAAGAAAAATCAGAGATTTTGCAAGATGAAAAAATTTTTGGAGATCAGTTGTATAACAGCGTGACTGAATGTATCAGTACTGAAGCATATACTTAAAAATGTTCAAGATGGTATTTTTATGTGAATTTAATGACAATTTATTTTCTTAAAACATTAGAGAATACAATGAGTTCTAGAGTCTTTATAGATTGCTTCTCACATACACTGTTAATCTAGCTCTAAACTGCAAAGTAAAAATAAGTGATGGTAGGGCCAATCTGTAAGTGGTGTGATGAGTAGCAAGCCAGGCTTGTCTTGCTGGTGTGAAGACAGGCAGAATCAAGGGCACAGCCACAGATTCAGAACCTGAGCCAACATTTTCAGTGACACCTAGATGCCAGTGCTTCTCCCCATGTAAACACTGAAATTCTTTTTCATCACTCCCAAGCCACTCTGAATTGGTTCTAAACATTGAAAGCAAAGGAAGAATAAGTTGAAAGGAACTGGAGTAGGAAGTCAGTATGAACTATTTGGTTGAACATGAAACTCTTTCTAATATACTAGTATTTTTTTAAACTTAACATAAGCAGAGATAAATAAACTTTATGGTAGAAAAATATAAGAAAAATCAAAATAAATTGCTAATTGTGCACTGCTTTTGAAACAAGAAAAAACTGTTTCGAAACTTACCTATTAATAAATGTTAAATATGAAAGAGGAGAAATAAGACAAACATACATCAGAAATACAAGATGGTTTCAATAGAATTACTTTCTCCTTGTACTTACAGCATCATAGATGACCTCTACAGGCTGAGACTGAATGATCAGGGTCTGGTCAGCAGGACTATTCTCCGGATTAGTTTCAAACTCAATTTTAAGCAAAGATGATGCAGTATCACCAATTGAAGCCACAAGTGATGGTATAGAATCTTGCTGTCTCAGACCTGTTATATACCAGTGTTCTAATTTTGCTTCTATCCTACAATCAATGTGGGGTGGGAGGGAGGAAGTAATAAGATCCATTACAATATAATGGGTTAAATTACAAGTTTTCCTTAAACTTCTTCAAAAGTCAGGTTCATGCCCATTACCCAGAGTTAAAATGCAATCTCCTTGGCTTGGCATTCATTACCCATACAATCTGTTTTTGTTGCTGCTGATGTTGTTGTTATTGTTATTAACTCCATATCATTCACATGAAAAACTCACTTTAGACAACCCAAGAGTACTGCAGAGGTTCTGCTCACTGCTACATAAATAAAAGCACATGGCCCATGGACAAACTCATCTATTTCCAAGTGACCTGTAATATCTACCATCGCATCCCTACTTCTCCTAGTGTCCTGTTCAGCTAGTTCAAGTTTTCTCCTGGCCAAGTTATTCTCTTCTACAACTGAGCCTGTGTAGCATTGACTACGAGGTATTTAATTTTACATTACCTTCTCACAGTGAGTTAATATGCTACATATTTCTTGAATTATGATCTTTTTTGCATATCCTCTCTTATCAACTTGAAATGCTGGAACTATGCATAGCTTTCACAATATGGAGTCTATAGATTAATAATATTTGTGAAGGAAAGGAGGGTATGTAGAAAAAATGATGAACTAGCTTTATAGTTTCAAAATAAAACAAGCAAATATAAAAAAGACTATCTTGGCCTACATAAAGGAAAAAATTTTTTACTAATCAGTTTATTTAATGCTGAATAACACTCCTTCTTTGGGACCTAAATCATAATTAGAAATAAAAATAGWAATAATAAGTTTTTTAAAACTTACTTCACTGCTTGTGCTCCTGGTCGCTGAGATACTTGCGTGCCAAGGCCAATTATCTGAATTTTTAGTATTTCCGGAATATTTTTACTTTCCCTGATTACAACAGAGGTACTTATCAACTTCAGGGTCATTATATGGGCAACATACTGTATGGTAAGAAATAATGAAAATTGTTAAAGTTTAAGTAATTATTGCTTTAATAGTTTCTTCTTAATTAAATAGTTTGAATTATAAAGTGATTCAATAAAATATGGTAGATTCTGGCATCATATACTTACAATAAATGAGTATTAGAAAATTCCATGAATTAGCCTACTCAATAGGACATTTACAAAAGATCCAAAAATTCATTTCTCTTACTTTTAAAAGAGATTAAGAAAAATGACAAAACACTGTATAGTAGGAATATTCAACTCATCATCTTTCACTAAAGCAAATTAAATATTTCAGACCATTCTCTAGCCAAGACAAGAAAAACTATAAAGAACATCTTCCTCATAGCTATGAATATTTACAAGACACTGGGGGAAAAAAATGTGACCCAAAAACTATTGAGTGAAATTGAAGGTAGGACAAACACCAAAGAGATGATCCTAGAATCTAGGAATGTGTTTCCCCTAGACACATTTAAAAATTTAAGTGGTTGCAGCCTGAAAGCTAACAGCAAGGGTGGCAGGTTCAAAGCAGAAAACCAGGTCCCACCAAGGGAGCATCTAACAATACAACCACACATAGAGAGTCAATTTATTTTCAACCAAGGGGCCAACTAAGGACTCAATTTGCATATGGAAAAAAATAAATCTTCACTTCTGTGCCACTCTAAGCACAAAAATTAATTTAAGATGAATGCAAAACTAAATATAAAACCCAGACCACCATAAAATTTCTAGACAGAAAACAAAGGCAAGTATCTTTGTTAACTTTTAGTAAGCAAAGATTTGTTGAACAGATCTAATATTAGTACCAATCAAATAAAAATTTTAAATTACTTTTTCTCATAAATAACCATCATTAAGAAAATCAACAGACAAGTATACAAGCTCAGAAATGACAAATGACTGCATGTACTATCTTTTTATGTACATACAACAAGGCTTATAAGCTGAATATTTAAAGAACTCCCATAAAACAATAAAAGAATAAACAAAAAAATTTTAAATAGGCAAAAAGCACTGTGTAACACTTCACAAATGAACATATAGAGATGTCCAATAAGATAGAAAAAGATGCTCAACATCATCAGCCATCAGGAAAATGCAAATTAAAATTTATAGTGGAATTTCTACTAGAGTGTCTTAAATTAGTAGTTTAAAAAATCAAATGAGGCAAAGAAGAGGCACAAGAGAAATAACTGGAGTGGATATAAAATATTATGACTACTCTGGAGAATTATTTGCCAGTTTTTTAAAAAGTTATATATGCATCTGCCCTGTGACTCAACAATTCCACTCCCAGGCATGGAAAAATTAACAATTCCACTCCCAGGCCACTGTAAACAGAAAATGTATGTCCACAAAAGACTTGTACAAGAATGTTCACAACAGCCTTATTTGATAATAGCCAAGAATTAAAACAACAAAAATATTAAGCAACAGGAGATGGTTTACAAAATGAGGTATATTAGAAACATGAACTACTATTCAATAATTAAAAGGAACAATCTATCCATACTCATACAACATGGATGAATACCAAAAACATTATGTGAACAATAGAAGCTAACAATATACATAAATGCATGAACAGGAAAAAACCATTTGTGGTCACATAAGTCATAAAGTGGTTGCTTTTGGAGAGCAGGAGAAGAAAAATGACTAGAAAAGGTCAGCAGGAATGTTTGAGGGATGGAAATAGTCTCTATCTTGGTTTGGATAGCTATTACATAGGCATACTCTACTATCCAAATTCATCAAAATGACCTTAAGATCTGAGTGCTTCGTTGTACATGAATTCTACCTCAAACAAATTTTAAACACACTATTTATAACAAACCCCCCAAAAGATGTTCAACATATACAAAGAAAACCAGAAAACATTATTTAAGAATAAAATGTTATGGTTTGGATATGAGGTATCCCCCAAAAGCTCACATGTGAGACAATGAAAGAAGGTGCAGAGAAGAAATGATTGGGTTAAGAGAGCCTTAACTCAAATCAGTGAACTAATCACCCGATGGGATTTACTTAGTGGTAAATGAAGGCAGGTGGAGTGTGACTGGAGGAAGTGGGGCATTGGGGGCATGGCTTTGGGTATATATTTGTATCTGATGAGTGGAGTCTCTCTACTTTCTGAGCTGTTTCCCCTTGCCATACTCTTTCCACTGTGATGCTCTGCCTCACCTTGAGCCCCAAAGAATGGAGCCAGCCTTCTATGGACAAAGACCTATGAAACCATGAACCCTAAATAAACCTTTCTTCATCAACAGTTGTTCTTGTTGAGTCCTTTTAGAGTCACAGTAGCRAAAAAAGCTGACTAAAAACAGGGCATATGCTTTATTTATGGATCAGAAATTCAATACCATAAAAACTTCAATTCTCCCCCATATTATAGATTCAATAAAATGGCTATCAAAATCTTGCTCTTTTCATACAAACCAATCATCTGACTCTAAAATGTATAGAGAATTTAAAGGGTCAAGGACAGAGGTAAAACAATCTTAAAAGAAAGCCAGAGTGGAAGGATTTACCCAGCTAGCTTGCAGGACTGATTACAAAGTTTAAGTAACTTACTACTAAGACACACATATGGTAAATGTAACAGAACAGAATTTCCACAAATGTACAGACACCTGACTAGGGATGAGGGGTGAGAGCAGTGAGAAAGCCTGGTCATTTCAATAATGAGTGCTAGGCCAAGTAAAGGGCCATAAAGATGGACCATAGGTCTAACTATATAAGTCAAAATAATGTGAACCCTCTGGCAGAAGACTAGGTGTATGACCTATTGCAGTAAGGATTTTTTAAATTGGACACAAAAAAGCACTAGCCATAAAGGAAAAGATTAACAAATAAAATAACATTGAAAATAAAAATATGTCCCCATTAAGAGATAACATTAAGAAAGTAAAAATGCACATTACACTGTAGGAAAAGATATTTTGCAAAGTAATTAAAAATTAAAGACAATCTACTTTGTTGTACTGGAAAACAGTTAACAATCCATCCAACTAGCAAAGGTCTTATATACAGAATATGTAAAGAATTCCTGCAAACCATCAAGAAAAAGACAACCTAATAATGATTAAGAGATGAAAAAGCCACACAAAAAAGAATGTCTAAAAGGTCAATAAATACATAAGAAAATGCAAAAGCTCTTTAGTCATCCAGTAAATACAAAATAAAACCATAGTGAAATACAACTGCATACCCACCATTAAGAATGAATGAAACTAGAAAAGGCAGAAGATGGCCGAATGGAGGGATCGCTTCCCTAGTGGCTCCATGATGAGAACCAAGAAAAGCAGACAGGCAGCTTTTCAACAAAGTGGGTGAATGATCAAGAATTAGGAGGGACTTTACTGGAATTTAATACTGAACACACAAAACAGTTCAGGGACTCAGCAGATCTTATAAAATAAAATAAGGGGGAAGATCACCAACCCCACATCTACGATAGCAGCCAGAGGTGCAAGCCAGAACAGTCCCTAGGGAATGCAGTAAAGCAATAAAGGAATTAAAGGAAGCCCCATTACCAGGAAGACTAAGGCGTGTCAGGGTACGGAGAACTTAGAGATAGGAGACACTGTTCAAAAACACAGTGAGCTGTGCTACACAGTATCTATGTATAGGAGTGAAGCTGCATCTCTATCAGTGGCATACCTGAAGGACAGCAGAACCATTTTGCAGCCATGACACAGGGACTGGCAGCTCAGGGAACTGATTACTGGCAAACCCAAGCCTGGCCTGAAAAACAAGCTGGGCAAACCCACTGGTTGTGGAAACCCACTTGGCTACTCCCTCCTCCTCCAAACTGGCTGCTTGCAAGACTGGTGGGGAGAGAATCACATGACCAGGAATTTGAAAGGTTGGGGACAGGAGAGATACAGCTCAGAGACTGAATCAGAGACCAGGAATTGTGGGGTCCACAGGCAAAGTATGAGGCTAAGCACAAACTCCTATACCACACGAGTGGAAACCAAAGGAGATTCCTGGGCGCAGTTTTTCAACATGTACTAGCAATTGCTGGGCCTTGGAGGTGTACTGCCTTAAAATCTCCAGACCAACTGGCACCCAGCTAAGAGAGAAGAGCATACCTAGCCCTATATCCTGCCTCCAGGAGCTTTTCATCTAGGACTAACCCTCTCACCCTAGCAACCCCAACCATCCTGAAGGTGGAGCTAGCATCAAACTCCAGACAACCCCACCTAACTGCTGAGAAGATAAGCTCAGAAACTCTAGAACTCAAAAAAAAAAAAAAATGAAGTTCAATTTTTTCACTGAGACCGTTTTCCTTTTTCTTTTCTTTTCTCTCTCACATATCTACCATTTTTGAAACCAAGTATTTTTCATGCATCAGTTTACTGAGGACTAGGATTTCTGAATAATATAGTATAGCTTTGTTGTGTATTCTTTTAATAATACTTTTTTCTATTTCTAATTTTTTTATTTTTACTGTATATACATTTCCTCTCATTTATATGTTTCCCTGAATTCTTTCTCTCTTTTCTCCTGAAAACAGCCAACTTCTATTAATTCCTCTTGCACACGTCCCATAATTCTTTACTTCTATATTCTCTCCTTCTTCTTCATAAACATCACATCCTACACCACTTCTATTTCTGCTTTGTCCACCATTTGAAATTGTAAACTCTTTGCAAACTTACTGTTTATACTGTAGAGCAATAATTGCATACATCATTTTTGTCTATTGCAACAAAACTATAAACATCTTAATAGGTGCTATTTTAGTTAAGGCTGTAAACTGTTTGCATTGGGTACTGTGATTATTTATCTCCCCCTTAAAGGTGAAGTACAGGAAAACTTCAAGGGACTCTATACATCCATAGCACAGAAACTGTCCTGCCTCAGATCCATACTGCTAGATGGGTAGACACATAAACAACATGAAAAAACAAGGTACAAATTGCCCTAAACAAATTAAGATAGTCCAATAACAGAATACAATCCACCAACACCACAGTAGAAGC